TGGTTGTCCACTGAAGAGTGCGTCCTGAAAATTTTTTTACATTCGACATCTCGTAATTTCAGTTCGTAACAATATTGGTATAGGCGAACCGATGCCACTGTGAAAAGTTCCCAGCTACGTTACCCCGCAGTACGAATCAAAGACCCAGCATCGCATTCGATTTGTTTTCTTTCGTACAGCAAAAAAAATGTTCAGGCGAAGAAAGAAACAAAAAAGTGTTGTAAAAAAAACTCATCGTGGTCAGGAGCTCAATTAGTATTCACACCAACGAGCAGCGGATCAATTGTCTGGCCACAATACACCAGCGCACAGCAGCATTGATCCTCAAAGGGAAGCAAAAAAAGATCATTAATTCATGACAAGAGCTTCGGACTAATCAAAATACACGACGACAATGGCGATCTAGAAGCACAGCCGTCTGATTAATGCGTCCCCTTAGAGGGACGATGATTAATAGGGAAAGCGTCGCGGCGTTAAGGGTGGGCCGCCTCGTCGCGGCTCGGGATTAAAAGGGCGGAACGCGGTAGCCGGCCGCGGCCTGCGTGGCCGGTGGGCCCGCGTCGCTTAATATTCCTCGTCGCGCCGGCTTTTCCGCTGCGGAAGTACGACAGCGAGATGATCAGCTCGCTCGTGATTCCCCGGCTTTTCTCCGCGCCGCGGCCACGCGCTCACCTGCATTCTCATGCGGCCTCGTTCCCTCTGCAGCCTTCGGATTTTCTCGCCGTGATTGTTCTTTCTCCATTCTTCCTCGGGCGAACGGCGGAAGTGTTCTCAAAGCGCGATCTTTCGTATTCCGCGCGCGTGGGGCCGTGACGCAAGCCGATAACGCGCCTCCGACAGCGATTTTCGGGCGACTCGCGCTGAATTAGTCAGCAGCCCGCCGATCGCTCGTCGAAAGAGCACGCGCGCCCTCGTCAACGCGTGGCCGCGAAATCGGCCCGAGAAAATCTCCGGCCAGCGCGTCGATATATCTCGGAGCCAATGGAGCGTGCCGTAACGACTCCCCTGGAAAGCCAGAGAGAGAGAGAGAGAGAGAGAGAGAGAGAGAGAGAGAGAGAGAGAGAGAGAGAGACATCACCGCGGGCACGCGTATTTCTCCAACTGCAGAGCGCACTATCGATCGCCGTCTGCTTCGCGTAAGCGGCTTAAACATTGCAGCTGGATAAATACGCTCGTAAGTCAGGGCCCGCCATTGGCTTTATAGACAGCGAGGCGATAATAAGGTCACGAATGCACCATCATCGACGCGCGCAGCCGGCTAACCCGATGACCCTTCCCCCCGGTCTCGGGACGACTTTTTCTCGTCGCTGGGGTGCGCCTCGAACGTTCGGCTTTTGTTGCGACGCTTTTTACCGACCAATGCATTTGCGTGCACGACGAGAGGGCGGAGGGGGTATAGGCGCAGGTAGCACGACGCATGTGCAGCGTACGCCGCTTTTGTCAACGCGACCGACGAGGCCCACCTACGCTGAGTGTCGTAACGTGCGCGCCGAATGTTTTTTTCCTTCGCTCGTTTCTCACCGTCTATTTTTTTTTTTTTTCTCGCCGTCGTTACGATCCAAGGTTTCGCGCGCGCACCTTTGTTACTGTTTTTCCCGCCAACCCGCTCGCTCGACAATTAATTGTCAATCGCAAGGGCAGCTAGAGCTCCCCGGCGCAGCCGTCGTCGCCGCGGCAGCTGGCGGAAAAGTCAGGCCGCGCCTCTCGAGACGAAGAAAAGCGCGCGCTCTCCGAGCTCGCGCCGCAGATGCTGTGCGCTTCTTTCTTCCGCACACGCGCGCTGGTCGGATTTTCTCTCTCTCTCTCTCTCTGTCGCCCTCCCCCCTCCCGAAAGCCCCGTGAGAGAGAGAGAGGCGAGGCTGGCCCGAGACTTTTCCTTTTCTTCCGCGACGAGAGTCTCCGCATTGTGCCGCGCCCGCGCGTGCCGAATGTCGAGACTGACACCGTGCTCCAGATTGTTCTTCTCGTCCGTCTCTACGCGGCTGCTCTTTCGGTCTCTCTCTCTGTCTGGGCTTCTGTGCGACAACGTCAATAAATAAACAGTTTTGCGCCGAACGGGTTACCGATGTGCCGGCGATCTCGTTGTCGGAGCAGATGGATAAATGAATTTCGGAGCTCTTGAAATAATACGCGCTTCTGTCCCATTCTCCACCTTTCTTTTACCTGGGAGGATTCGGGCGCTCGAGCTTGGAAATTCTCACGCGTGTGCTTCCTCCTCAACTCGCGTTTCGTATGTCAATCGTAAAAGTTCGATTGTCAATCGCTCCGCACTGCAGCGCTCCAACACGTTTACAATATTTTAATTTGAAAAGACTTTCCGGGTTTTTTTGTTTCATGGTTTTTTTTTTCGTTTCATTTTTTTTTTGCGGGCGGGCGGAGGAAACAGCTAACTCGAGGAAACAGCTGCACTAAATCTTTTCTGCTCATCATTATTCATTCCCAAATACAATGATTTATAACTCGAGAGTATCGGCGCCGATTTACGCAACTGCGAAAAAAAAATAATAACAAAAGATAGCTACGCGAGCATCGATAAAAATTATCGTCGAGAGCAAACGATAACAGGACGAAGATCTTACACGTCAAAACAGAGAGCGAAAATTGTGAAAAAAAAGAAAAACACGCAGGCGAGCATCGGCGTAATAAAACGCAACACAAGGAGAGAGAGAGAGAGAGAGAGAGAGAGGGAGGGAGAGGGAGGGAGAGTACGGGCCCCGAGGCTGCAGCCTCCGCATCTTTCGTCATGCGGTACGGGTCGGCTCAAGTGCATCGGGCCGAGAGCGGCGCAACTGCCTGCGTCGAATCCACGCGCACACGCACAAAGAGAGCGGAGCGAGCGGCAGCTGCGCGATTAGCATCGGCGCTCGCCGAAAAAAGCTTCGGGCGCGCTCGGCTTGGCTCGGGCGCGTGCCGCGTCCTCCGGAAGCCTTCGCCGGAAGCCCAACGCCGCGGCGCGGGCTTTGTCCTTGAGACTAGACACGCGCGCGCTCGCGCGGTGTGATTTTTTCGCGACAGCTGCTCGCGGAGGCATAACGCGCGCAAAATCCAAGCCGAGCGGGCTCCGGGCACGTCCCGGCCGCGAGGGCGATGAAAAGATTTTTCCGCGCGCCGGCGGCGGAAGCCGAGCAAGTGGTCGAACGAGCCAGGGGCAAGCTGTTGATTTTCCCCGCGTACGTGCGCACGTATGCGCACGGTGGTTGTGCGCGGCCAGGGGCGGGGGAATCGTGCCACGTCGCTCGGTGGTTTCCGACGGATCTCCTTTTCCCTTTCTCTCCTTGATTTTTTTCGATCGAGGGGAATATCGACGCGTTGCCGCTCGATCGATACGCATCGCTGTCCCTCCCCTCGGGTTTTTGGGACTGTTAACGCTGCGTTGGTTTGCACGGCGTGGGCTACGTTTTTTTATACCTTCAAAGTGTTTCCTGGTACTGCCGATTTCCAGGAAAACCATATTTTACTTTCGACAAGTTCATGAGTTACGTGGAGAGGTCAGCGTATCTATCACCTCTGAGTCAGCAATTATATGCGTATGAAAAAAGCATGCGACACTCGAACTTTTGGAATCATTGATCCTGACAGTAATGCCCAAGTATAATCGATCGAACCGGCATCGCCGACGCAATTCGAAGCGCTCGAACAAGAAAACACAAAGAGATTGTTGAAATTCACGCGAGTTAGCGTGGTCCAAAAGTAAATAGTTAAATAAATTAAAAAAATCTGAGAGTAAAAAATGAATAAATAAAGCAAAACCGAAACTAGCAGGGCACGACCATCTGCGTAAACAACGCGCAACATGGAGCGTAAATAGCCACTCGCGAAATTTAGAAGAAGAAAAAAGGAAGAGGCAGGAGGAAAGAGACGAAGCAGAAGAAGCCCTTGGGATTGTGTTGTTTGCTTGGTTGGAGCAACCCGCATGTGCGCTTTAGCTTCCGGTCACGAGGTGGTTCAACAGGTCAGAGCCAGGGGCCAGATGGAAAGACTTCCGGCGCTCGCGGCACCACCGCCGCGCCCGGCAAGTGCGCCCGATTTTTGCGTTCGCGCGTCGCCGGACGCGTTCGCGCTCCCGGTATCGCGCCGATGTAAATAAATATTGCCGATGACGCGCATTCCATCGCGCGCCCGTCGCGCGCACGGAGCTTTATTGATAGGTCGGCGAGGGAGCTTGGATCGCGTAAAAAGGTGTAGCCTCTGCCCCGAGACGGAGTCGGCCGCTCTTCGTTTTCCGCGACGGTTCAAGGGTTTCGCCGCAGCGCAGCTGTGACAACAAGCGCCTATCGCTCTCGGACTGCTGGGAGCTGGACCGGAAGCGACTCTTGACTCGATAAGGGCCAGATCTTACGCGGCAGTGGGATTCATTACAGCCGAACGGGAGCGCGTGACGCGAGTTTCAATTGCCGGCAATGAGCTTCGTTAGCCCGCGTTCCGGACACAAGAAGATACAAAGAGAGAGAGAGAGAGAGAGAGGGAGAGAGAGAGAGAGAGAGAGAGAGAGAGAGAGAGAGAGCGAAAGAAAAGCCAAAAAACAACGCCACGACGTTTCCTATACGCATTCCTTGACGGAAGCTCCACTGGAGCTTGCAATCTCGCTTGTCCACTCGTCTCCGAGACACGAGAGCTTGCGCCCTAAAAGACGACATTAGCGCAAGCTGCAACCGGACAATGCAGCACCAGTGTGCACACACACTCGAGGGAGAACAGGGCGCAGCATCAGCAGGTCGGACGCGCATGCATCGGATTTTCCGCAGCGTGGAGAGAGAGAAAGAGAAAGAGCGAGCGAACGAGCGAGAGTCGTCGGTGGTGGCGGCGGCGGCGGCGCGTGCGACGCGTGCCCCGGGCTGGCGGTGGTGGGGGCGGGTGGCGCGTGTGCAGCTGCAGCAGCTGCACGAGAGTCGGCGAGTCCCCCGGCCTGGTTGGCTCCTCGGCGAGCACACCGCGATTATAAGTAGGGGTGCCGAGCGAAGGGCCACCTCCAGTCGAGGGTTGCAGCGCGTCCCGTCAGTGTCTGCTGCGCGCCATACTCTCTCTCTCTCTCTCTCTCCGTCTTTCTCTCGCTCTCGCTTCCACTCCACTGCCCGAGTTTGCCGATTCGGCCGTGAGGTGTCGCGGGCGTTGCCACTGCTGCAGTACAGTGCTCTCTCTCCCCACAGTGAGTGTGCCGAGCGCGTCTGACGACTGCCTACCAGAGGCAGTTTCTGCCGAGCGTCCGACTCGTCGACACGCACGATACAGCCGCGCGCAGCGTACCATCACACGTTCAGCCAGTGCGACATGCCGCCGCGTCGAATCGTCGAAGCCGCGTGTGTCGTTGCCGAGTAATACGAGCCGCGAGGGAGCAGGCCAGCTGAAGAGCAGCGGGTAAACAGTGCGTGCTTTCCCCTATTCCGCTCCGAAGCCGAGCGTCGACGAAAGAGTGCGCGACGAAGAACAGTTGTTATACTTGCCGTCTGTCCGACACGACACGACGAGCAAAGCAGTGCAAAGAGAGTGACATGCCGCTGCCTCGAGCCGGCGCAAGGAGCTAGTAGTAGAGTGGTCCTGGATGAGGCATCTCGGCGATCGCTGCGTCGACGACTGAGCGCTAGACGACTTGACCACGAGCGACAACAGCAGCAGCAGCCAGCGAGACGATGGACAAGCGGCAGCAGCACTTGCTGATCTTGAGCTTGGTGCTCGCGATAGCAGCTTGCGCGGTAAGTGTGAGCAGCGTCTCGCTCGCTCCATAAATACGCGTCTGCCAGTAATAGCCGGGGTCCCGCTCGGCTGTTCTCCGTCCTCTTTTTTCCTGGCACTCTCCCCAAAGAGGCAGAGACGGCGCGAGAAGTGGTGCTGCCAGTGCCTGAACGTCGGCTGCGTTGCGCGTGTTGCAGGTGGAGGCCTCGGGGGTGTTCGAGCTGCGGCTCAAGTCGTTCGCCAACGAGAACGGCAAGGACAGCCTGGGCAAGTGCTGCTCGGGCCAGGCGAGCACGGCGCAGGGCCGGTGCACCGGCGTCTGCAGGACGCGCTTCCGCGTGTGCCTCAAGCAGTACCAGGTCAACATCGACACCACCACGCCGTGCACCTACGGCGACGTGGTGACGCCGGTGCTCGGCGAGAACTCGCTGACCAGCGCCAGCAATCTGACCAGCCCCATCCGCTTCCCCTTCGACTTTACCTGGCCGGTGAGTTGTGTGCCTGCGCCGTGGGAGCGAGTGACCGGTCGCGCGCGCACATCTGGGCGCGGAGAGCGAGAGAGAGAGAGAGCGGAGCGCGGGCGCGCGGCTAGACAAAGAGTCGGAGAAAAGCGACAAGGGACTAGCCAAGCGACTGCCGGAGCGCTGCTCCGCCTCGCCAGATGTGCCGGCTCGTCGCCGTCGTCTCCAGCGCGAAGGTCGCCGCCGACGGGCCCGCGCATTGTCACGTTATTTACAACGGAGCGCGCGCGCGCGCGACCCCCACGTGAGAGAGAGAGAGAGAGAGAGAGAGGAGCTTGCGACCGAGCGCGGATATTTTTAGAAAGTTTTCCGCCGTGGCGCGGCTCGGGGCGGGCAGGAGTCGGGCGCGCACGTGCGCCGCGTCGCCCCCCGAGAGTCGCGCGCCCGCGGCAGCGTGCGAGGATCAGCTGATCGCGCTCCGCGGGACGATCGTCGCGAGCGCGCATTTTCCCGCGTGGGAACGGAATCGCCGGGCGCAGCGTATCGTGCGCCTCGGTTTTTGCGTTTTCGGTCTGCAATAAATTAGCGGCCGATCACGGTGGCATTTGTCTCTCCGCCGCGGTAATTTATCTCTCTCCTTTCGGCTCTCTCTCTCTTTCTCTCTATACGCATGCGAGTGTGCGGATATGTTGGCTACCTCCTCCTCCTTTCGACGACGAGGAGAGCGAGAGAGAGAGAGAAGTTGGCGATCCTTGTCCTTGCGCCGAGCCCTTTCGAAAATACGCGCGCGCCACAGTCCAAAGACCGCAAACATAACTCAGCTCCCTGACAAATGTTCCACCGGCGACATTCTTCGGGATTCCTTTCTTGCCGCTCGTACGCGCGCGCGCGTGTGTGTGTCTCTCTCTCTCTCTCTCTTTCGAAAAAATTAATAGCGCCCCTTGAATCGATGCGTCCTCCCATCTGCGCGCGTGTGCGTACGTCGGTGCCGAGTATACGTGCGAGTGAATGGGGACGAATGCACGAACGTGAGAGAGTGCGTATACTAATTCGCGCGCATGTTTGTTGCAGGGCACGTTCTCTCTGATCGTCGAGGCCTTCCACGACAGCAGTGACGGCAGCGGCAACTCCACCGGTAAGTACACCGGGCGCAGCGCACATTTAGCACACTTCTGGCAAAAAATAGAAAAAAAATGCATAAATAAAAAAATAAAAAAAATAAGGAAGGAAGCAGGAGGACAAGTTTCGCTCTCGGTCTTTTTTTCGACAAATAGCCCGGGCCGCTGCTCTCGCACGGGGGCGCTCCATTGTCGCCGGGTCCTCACAATGTGGCCCTTTATGTTACGTGCAGCGAGCAGCGCCAGGGCCGCGTATACCTATATAGGTGCAGGCTCTCTGGCGGGATGCTGGTGCTTCCTTTCTCAGGCCTTTCGCCAAACACGCTCGCCTGCCTGCCCCCTCGCACACCAGTACACCTGCAACGACATCCCCACCTCGTGCGCGTCCTCCTCCTCCGCTGTTTCCTTCTCCTCCAACACACGAGCAGCAGCAGCAGCGGCACACAGGCCATCCGGATCCCATCTCTCTCTCTCTCTCTCTCTCTCTCTCTGTCCGATGTGCTCGTATGTACGCAGAGCCACGGGCCTTTGTCCTAATGCACTCTTTGCTGCTGCTACTGCTACTGCTGCCAACAGCACGTGACTCTTGCCAGAGCGAAAAAGCTCCGAAAAACCTCACGATGCACGCCGGATTTCTGCCTTTATTCCCGGTTCTGCTGAATCGCTAGCTAAACGTAGCGTCCTCCCTCTCCCCTCGCGCTCCCTTTTTCCTCCTGCTTCTTGATCTTTCCTCTTTTTTTTTTTTTTTTTTCTTTTCTTTTCTTCCTCGTCTTCGTCTTTTTTCTCTCTTTTTCGGCCGCTGCACGCCGGCGCGCGAGATTTACTACGGACTGGGCTTTCTTTTGCGAGCGCGCGAGAGATAACGGGCTCGCATTTTATCGAGCGCCGGCGGATTCCCCTCGGCGGAGGCTCGCTCTGAAAGCCACGGCAATTGCGCGTTTTGCAGGTAGCCCGAGCGAGCGGGTGATCATCACGAGGCTGGCCACGCAGCGCTGGCTGGACGTCGGCCCGGAATGGATCGAGGACGTGCACAGCTCGCACCACTCGGCGATGGTATACCAGTACCGCGTGACCTGCGCGGCCCACTACTACGGCAAGGGCTGCGAGAACCTCTGTCGGCCGCGCGACGACAACTTCGGCCACTACAGGTGCTCGCCCACCGGCGAGCGCGTCTGCCTGTCCGGCTGGAAAGGCGATTATTGCGCTAGTCGTAAGTAGCTTTGCTATTATACTTTCTCGCCTCCGCGCGCGCGCGCCTTCGCTTGCGTAAGAATCGGCGAGATCTCGGGAATCAGAGAGAGAGAGAGAGAGTGAGAGAGTGGTTGCCATAGGGACGAGGCAGCAAGCAGCAGCAACGTGTGTTCCGAGTGTGTGTGTGTGTGTGTGTGTGTGTGTGTGTGTGTGTGTGTGTGTGTGTGTGTGTGTGTGTGTGTGTGTGTGTGTGTGTGTGTGTGTGTGTGTGCGCGCGCGAGCCGGCTGCTGCTGTTGCTGCTGCTGCTGCTCGGCGCAACTTCCCACGCTTCATGCGCCCGCCTCTCTCCTCCGCTCTTCTCTCTCTCTCGCTCGACTACCTGTGCGCCGGAGAGAAGCTACGCGGTCTCTCTCTCTCTCTCTCTCTCTCTCTCTCTCGAAAATCCGCGCCACTGCGGCGTGCTTTGTTTTCGTGTTGGCGAGGCGACAAGTCATAATAATGTAACTGTAGTAACGATGACGACTGTTGCGACGGTGAGGCAGAGGCGTCGACAGCAGCGTCGCTGGAGCTTTCCACGTGGGTTACTTTCTTGCGCGGCTCGAGTTTCGCGGTCGTTGCACCTGCAGCGGCGCGCCGAGCAGAGCTGACCGACAAATGTCGTAGTCGCGGCATCGATCGTATACGTACGCCGGCTAACGGTCGTCGCCGTCGTCGCAGTCGTCGTCGCACGGGCGACAACACACGTACACAGACGGGCGAGCGAGCGAGCGAGCGAGCGCGCGCCATCAAGGGGAAAGGTCGGGGCAGCAGCTGCGGCAGCTGTGCGCGGCAAGAGGCCTCGAGGCGCTTTAACCCGCAGCTGCCGTGTGTGTCGACTTTTCCGAGCGCGCGCAAACCAGAGTGAGAGAGACGATCGATCGATCGTCGCCGTTACGTTCTCTCTCTCGCTCTCTCTCTCGGTCTCTCATTGCGCTGTGCGAGGTTTAAAGGGCGTATTTTCGCCGGCGCTGGAGCTCGCGCGAGCGGATCCGAGGAATCCCTGCGATTCGACTATAAATACTCGCTCTCTCTGGTCGAGACCCTCCGCTCTCTCGCGCGATTCTCTCTCACACACGAGCTCGACTTTATCAAGGTCACCCGGACTCACTCGGTATTAATCTCTCTCTCTCTCTCTCGCGAATTCGCTGCGAGAGCCGCCGCCGCCGCCGCCACCGCAGTCGACGCTCGGCTATGCACTTTCACTTGCATTCCCGACGAGAGGAGAGGAGAGAGAGAGAGAGAGAGGATCGCCGACCTCTCGGCTTATAACCTCTGCGCTCCTCGCGGGCGCAAAGCATGCTCATCCTTGATTTTTGCTTGACTTTTTTCCTGCTCGCCTGTTTCAGCCCACTGCCTGGCCGGATGCGACGAGCAACACGGACACTGCAGCCGACCCAACGAGTGCACGTGAGTATAGGCGCATCGCTCGCCGGATCCCCGGTGTCCCCACCCTCCAGAGGGAAAGCCTCGGCGCGGGCAGCAGCACGCAGCGATCGATTAATTACTCGCGGCGATTCGCCGAATTAGCAGGACGCGGAAACGCGCGTGTCCCTCGGGCGCACACATGTTCGAGTATGAGGCTCGGCTCTCCTCGCGCGCCGTGGGAGCTGCATCATCCCGCAGCTCCTCTCTCGCGCGCGCGCGCGCGGCCGATTAGCATTTTGAGAACGGGTTTGGGCTTATCTCGCGCGGCGGATCGGAACTTGTCGTAAAATCGCTTTTTTATCGGCCTCGTAATCCCATTGAAATAATGTCCCCGGGATTTCGAGCGAAGAGAGGAGCCGCATAAATTATCTCCTCTCTGCTGACTCTCTTTCTCAGGTCGAGCTCTCATACTCTCTCTCTCTCTCTCTCTCTCTCTCTCCCCCCCTTACTCTCTCTCTCTCTCTCTAGAGCGACGAGAGAAAGAGGGACAGAGTTATGACGATTCAATTGGAATAAATTCGTTGCGCAATTTTCGAGAAGTCTACTGCCGCCACCACCAGCGCCGTCGTTGCCTCGAGCCGTTCCTTCCTTCCTCTCGGTAATGATGCACCCCGAACCAACAAACTCTCTCTAGCTTTTCGAACAAGTAGCGAAAGAGAGAGAGAGAGGAGAAGAAAGAGAGGCAGTGGCGGCGGCGGCTGCAGCAGACTCCTCTCTTCTGCCGGTGTATATGGGATTTAATGGTATAGTCATGCGGCGCGCACCTCTCTCGCAAACACATATACACATATGCCTACAGACAGACACACACGCGCGCGCGGGAGAGCGCGAGCGTAACCTTTCCTTGACCCGCATACTGAGCGGCTCTCTGCAGGCTCGCGCGCGCGGCTCAAACCGTGGGAACACTACTCGGCGACTCATCCCCCCTCCCTCCCTTCCTCCCTGCCGCTCTCTCGTTTTCCTTTTCTCTTTTTCGCCTACCCGTGTGCTCCCTCTCTCTCTCCGGCGGACAAAGTAATGGCCGACCACCGCCACATCCTCTCTCTCACTCACTCACTGGATTGAGCCGCCGTCGCCGCCGCCGCCGCCGCCGCCGCCGCTGCTCGTGTCGAGCTGCCATGCCGCCCGAGGCCCTTATCCTGTTACCTCACCGCTGCAGCACCGGCTGCCGGCGGCTTTCAGCTGAGCGACCATGACTAAGCCGCGCGCGCGCGCGCGCAATGCTCTTCTGTCCGATAGCTGTCACAACGGCTGGACCGGCGAGTTCTGCGACCAGTGCGAGCGCTACCCCGGCTGCCTGCACGGCAGCTGCCAGAAGCCCTGGGAGTGCCTGTGCGACGAGGGCTGGGGCGGGCTGTTCTGCAACCAGGACCTGAACTTCTGCACCAACCACAAGCCCTGCCGCAACGGCGGCACCTGCTTCAACACCGGCGAGGGCTCGTACACGTGCTCGTGCGCGCCCGGCTTCACCGGCACCGACTGCGAGACGCCGCTGCTCGACTGCCAGAGCCAGCCCTGCCTGAACCAGGCCACGTGCGTGAGCGCGAGCGGCAACGCCAGCAGCCCGGAGGCCGCCGAGGGGCCGGCGATCGCGCGCCGCTACCGCTGCGCCTGCCCGGCCGGCTGGCGCGGGCGCCACTGCGAGGTGAGCTCGCGCTCGTGCCGCGACGGGCCCTGCGCCCGCGGCGCCACGTGCGAGGACAGCAGCGAGCGCGGCTTCACCTGCCACTGCCCGGCGGGCTTCGCCGGCGCCGACTGCGCGCAGCAGATCGACGAGTGCGCCTCCAACCCGTGCGCCAACGGCGGCAGCTGCGCCGACCTCACGGCCGGGTTCCGCTGCAGCTGCCCGCCGGGCTTCGCCGGCGAGCAGTGCCAGGTGAACGTGGACGACTGCCAGGGCGCGCCCTGCCTGAACGGCGGCTCCTGCGTGGACCTGGTGAACAAGTTCCGCTGCCAGTGCGCGGCCGGCTTCACCGGCAAGCACTGCGCCGAGCGCGTGGACCTCTGCCAGTACAAGGTGTGCGCCAACGGCGGCAACTGCACCTCCACGGCCAGCGAGTGGAAGTGCACCTGCCGGCCGGGCTTCGCCGGGCGCGACTGCAGCCTCATCTTCGACGAGTGCAAGAACTCGCCGTGCCTGCACGGCGGCAGCTGCCGCAGCCAGCGCGGCAACGGCTTCGTCTGCGACTGCCCGGACGGCTGGCGCGGCGAGACCTGCGCCGAGCCCGCGCGGCCCGGCGCCGCCGGCTTCTGGGCGGCCGACCGGCCGCGCGGCCACGTGGCCGCCGCGCCCGAGGCCCGCCACGCGGCCCTCACCACCGAGCACGTCGTCGTCATCGCGACCATCTCCACGGCCGTGCCGGCCTTCGTGCTCGTGGCCGCGCTCGCGGTCATGTGCATGAAGCGCCGCCAGAAGCGCGAGCAGGCCAAGGCCGACGAGGAGGCGCGCCTGCAGAACGAGCGCAACGCCGTGCACAGCAGCATGAGCAAGCGGGCGGGCGCGCTGCTGTCGCCGCCCTGCGAGCCCGGCGCGGCCGCCTGCGGCGACAGCCACATGATCAAGAACACCTGGACGGCCGCGGCGGCCAGCAAGAGCATCAACAACGCCGACAGCGCCTACGACGAGGGCTACAAGCCCGAGCCCGCGGCCGAGGCGCGCCCGCGCGCCACCAAGCAGCTCAACACCGAGGCGGCGGCGCACCGCGCCTCGCAGCACCTCTACCACAAGGAGAAGGACTCGTGCGCCTCGGTCTGCCAGCTGCTCGAGCCCAAGCGCGCCTCCAGCCTGTTCGCGCCCGAGGCCGGCTGCTGCTCGGCCGCCGGCTGCGCCGACCTCAAGAGGCCCGGCGCCGCCGGCCTGGCGGAGGCGCCGCCCGACGACCTCGACTCGGGCTGCTCGCCCGTCTACGTCATCGACGAGCACTACAGGCACGACCTGTCGCGCGACACCCTGGCCACCGAGGTCTAGCGGCCACTCCGAAGTCACTCTCTTCAAACGGATGCTGTGTGCGGGCGCACCGCCCGCTTTACTTAGCTCTTAGTCTTCACTCGAATACGAAAGAAATGCTGCGCATAGGTACATATATATATTATATATATATATATACACACACAGTGATGTATATCAATCGTGACGTGACGCGCGATGCGCACACACAACTCCTGTACAGAACTAATTTATTATCATTGTTGATTATTGATGTAGCTCGTAATTCGGTAACGCGTGCGTATTCTCGTAAGTTGGTGTCTGTGTGTGCGCGAAAGCAAGAGAATCTGACTGTTTGCTTGGCCGCGAGCGAAGCTTATATATAAATACTGCCTGCGACTGTGTGTGTGCGCGTGTATGTGTGTGTGTCCTGTCTTTACAAATGTACGTGTGTGACCGATGTTTTTGTAATTGCCATCTGCATCCGTGTAATCGAGCTCGGATGACAATTATAGAAAATGTCGAGGGCAAGTGCGACAATCGGCTCTTATAGAGCTTTTCTCCTTTTTTTTCCTTTTTTTTTCTCTCCCTTCTTCTTCGTTTTTCGTTCGAGGATCCGTGCGCGAGCGCGCGAAAAGCTTTTTTTCCAGCCTCGCGCCCGAGTTCATTGACAGTCTGTCGCGCGCGGACACACTAAAAATAAGCTCGGGCGTCAAGGCGCTTCAAGGTCCGACGTTGCGAATAATATTGGGGACGAGAGCTTTTTCGCCGGTAACAATCCGGAATCGCCATAAGCTTTCACTCTACGACGATCTCCATTACGATGATTAACTTTTTTTCTCGTTTTTTCTCTTTTTTTGCGTTTTTTCTTCTATCTTCGATGTAGGCGGTTCTTGATCGATGCCACGGATCCGAGAAGTCACGCCGAGCGGGCAAAGGACTAGCAAGTCCAAATGGCTTGTTTAAGACGTTTCTTTTTTTCACAAATTTTCGTTTTTTTCCTCTTTGTTTGTTCGTTTTCTTTCTTTTTTTTTTATTCTTGTAAAATTGTGCTATCGAGATTTATTTTGATGACTTGCTAGTCGGTGATGCCGCGAGGTGTGTCGAAGCACTGACGACTGCTGTTTTGTTACACACAAATCGTGCGATGAGTGACGTATTTATTTATAACGATAATGATAAATATTTGTTGGTGATATGACGATCATGAAGATATTAGATGATATGAAATATCGGACAACGATGCGACGACGAGATTCATTGATGTTCCTCTTAAAGTTATATTACTCAGAAGTCAGACTTGGGGCTTTCCGCATCTGTAAAGCTTTTTCTCAAAGGCGACGCCTATGCGCGCATGTCCCGTAATAACGGCCAAGTTCGTTGAAGCAGCGAATTAAGGATACAAGATTTCTACGATACATTTGGTTTTTGTACTTATATACAACATATACATAGGTAAAATATCGTCCTAAACGAAACAAAAGGAATCTTTATTCACTGCCACGCGTATGCGCAACTTTGGTGAGAAAATATCTCGACGAGCGTGAGCACTCCGATCGCTGTCTGCTCTTTCGCGCGAGCGCACCTTTTTTTTCGCTTTTTTCTCCGCCGCTGCTCACTTGGAACAAAGAGCGATTGGCCGTATTTTCTCAGCAAAGTTTCGATGTTCGATTTAGTCGTTTTTTTTGCTCTTCTCGCTATCTCAAGCCGTATCCCAATTTACGCATAATCTTAGGTAAAAAGGACAACAACAAATTTGTAAAGACTTCGTAGGTTATAATGTAATGAAAAAGTGCATCATTCTCTTTTTTGTAAGAAAAAAAAAAAATTTCAATGATAAAACGCGAATGAAGTGCGAAATCTGTATATTTGTAGTAGACGTGTACAATTATGATTAGTTAATTAAAAAAATACAAGCTATTGTATCATTATTATCAATACCATTGTAAATAGCGACGAAGAAAAAACATTGTCAGAATATAAATGAAAAACCAACCATATTGTCGAAATGAAAAGAGGATAAATGACAAGTTGAGCGAATTAAAAACGATAAATTCAAAGATAACATCTCTGCGTTCTCATTACTTCCACGCAATCCGTCTTTCACCTTGGCCGCCAGACGTTGCGTCTTAATGCGCGACAGCGCCTAAGAAGATACAGCATCAAACGCGGCTTTAAAAGCTCGCGCTGTTTACGAATAATACGCATCAAAGGAAAGAAAATACAGCGTTTGTCGACTCTAATTTGGGCGAGTCTTTTACTGGGTGCGGTTGATTGACGTCCCCCCGCGGAAAGGGAAGCCGGCGTCGCGCCGCCGCCTCGGCACGCGGCACGCGGCACACGGCGCGAGAGCCCAATCAATCGCACGCGGTAATTGTAACGCCATTGAGCTCTTTTCCCGTCGCGCTCTTATCCGCGCTCCGGATGAATCATTTTCCGCTTTCGGCCGATCGGACTCTCGCCGCGGGAACCGGGCTGCCGCTCGATTGCTCCCGTCGTAGTCCCCGCTGGCCGCTAATTTAATCAACCATTGAAACGCGCGGCTGTAAATCAGCCGTGTAATTGGCAGCTCGCCGTCGAACGTGGGCGACAATGGCACACAGGCGAGAGAGGAGCCCGAGGCGCGGCTGAAAACTTGGTCCGCGCGCGCGAAAATTCCTGAACGAAAAGTTTCTCAAACTCGTAAAAAGGCGCGTCGGCGCGTCGAAAAATTCCTGAGCATCGCCGGCCAGCCACCCTTCCGCAGTGCAATAAAAGCCGCTCGCGGAAATAGCTCGAAAATTTCGTTGGGAGCGTTTTTATATGGCTCGCGGTAAAAGAAAGAAGAAGAAAAAAAAAAAGACGTTACGCGCCGACGGGACGATAGGGGAGCGCAGAGGGTATAACGGACTGCTGGCGAGCGCGCGCACGTAGGTACATAACTGACGCCTCTTCCAGTTATGTTAATGGGCAATTTCCATGGGGGCACCGTTTGACAATGCGCGCCGCGAGCGCCAGTTGCGTCATCGCGCCAATCGAAGCGCAAACTCGCTGGCCGGCGTCTGCTTGGCGTCGTCGAACGTCGCCGTTGCCGTTCGTCCGCAGTGCCGGCGTCGCGACGCTATCCGCCGTACCGCGCTCGCTGGGACGCGGGATCGCAGGGCTTCGGGGCGCAGCGCAGTGACAAGAGCGTTCTGTTCAGCAGGATTGCGATTTATTTGTCGAATGAAGCACAAAGAGTAGTCGCTCGGCGGGGCTCGGGAGTACGGGAGCGTCCGGGCGAAGAATTGCATCAAGGCTCCGGCTGGACGTATCGGCCGGCGAACAGTACGTTGTTGGTCTGCAGGTCCAGCAGGAGGAAGGCGAACGGCCTGTCGACGCGGAAATTCGTCACCAGTGTACCCATTAGCGGTATCACCGAAACACCTGTAAAGACATTTAATTTTCGCTGATCAAAGGAGAGAAAACAAGAGACGCCCGTGTCGTCTGCCTCGTTTCCGAGATAAGGAATGGCTTTTATGCTAATACGATCAGAAACTCGTTCTCGCGCCTCATCGACTCTCGAAGCTCTTTGCGTTCTGATCGTCGTTAGGCCGGTCGTTAAAGGCGCGATTGATTACCGGTGGCGGCGGCGGCGATGGTTCCCTCCTCGCTGACTTCGATTCGGGCGTTGTGAAGCACAGCGCCGACCTGCACGACGTCGTTGGGGAAGCCCGCGGTCAGGTTCGACTTGGAGTCGAACAGATCCGTGATTTTCAGCTGGAACGACAAAGGACCGATCGAGAATGCGCCGTCGGCTCGCGTCTAGCGTGAACGCGACGTACCTTGCCGAGGCTGCTCTGGAGCTGGAGCTTATTGCCGACGGAGAATCGGGGCAACTGCAGAAACAGTTCCGCGTCCTCCAGTTGACGCAGCACCTGCGGGAGCGGCGTGAACGCCAAATCTCTGAGCAGTATTTCCAGTGCGTCCTCCTCCTGGCTCTTAGGCAGCAGCACCAACATCGCCACTCGGTTGCCCTTCATGATCAAGTACAAGCGGTCAATTGAGCACGAGGCCGACAATGTCGATGCGTGCGTTCAAAGAGTCACCGACGATGTAAGGAATCTGCACGACTTCGGAGCGAAGACTCGGGATCTCGGCGTACTTGTAGGTCTTGATGCTCTCCATCAGAGGCACGTCTTTGCAGCCAACGCGCGGCACGTTGAAGCAGCTCAACCTCGTCGCGGTCTTGTCGAAGGCGTGCAGCCAGGTTCCTCTGAAGTACACTGCCGTGGTCAGCAGCGCCTTCGTATCGGCGTCGAGACTGTCTGCAGGCGTGACGTTTCAATTGGACGACTGAATCGCAGTTCACGTGGCGCTTCGTCGAGCGACGCTTACCCTGATCGACGATGGAATCGATTAACCCGTTGGTACGCTTCCTCACCCAGTCGTTGACCGTCCTCGCCGACGTGGCAACGTCTCCGAAATCGACCGCCTCGAAATCGCTTCCGTAGTACCGCAGAGCGTCGCTCAAGTTGTTCGCGGGCACCACGTCCTTCCGGGTCCACAGTTTCATGGCCGACTGCAGCTCGGTGCCGCTCTGGGCATCCTGGAGGACGAAAAATACGACGCGACGCGATGAAGCCGCCTGCGAGCAATCGACGCGAGTGAGATGTACCTTGAAGGAGCCGATGGTTTGACCGGCGATTCTCCTAATGCCGGCAGGATCGGTCGGTAGCCTTAAGGACGCGACGATCTGCTGGCGCGTTCTGCCCGCGGCTGCCTCGGCGAGCACCATTAGCGCCGCCTTAACGCTCGACGAGCCGACCACCACATTACCGGGCTTGGCTGCGCACAGCTCCTGCGAAATTTCCCCCGTTTTTGCAGGCCTCCTCCTTTTCTCTTTTATCTCGTCTCAATTATACGTACATTAAGAAGCTCGATGTTGAAGAAGTTCTGAGTCGCCAGGTAATCGTCGGTCTCTTGCGCGGAGCTGGAGCCTGCAAAGCAAATCGAGCGCCAATAATGGGACGTTCGAGAAGGAGTAAAGGTCGCGCTGCACAACGATCAATCGCGATCGTTTGCGGTGACGGCCGCGAGACAAAGGAGAGCGCTCGGCAAATCGAACTTTTCCGCGTCGATCGTGTCGCGCGCAAATCGACGCGTTGCGCAACGGCAACTGCGGCGCGATTGCTTTTTTACAGGCGTACGCACGAAATACGCCCCAGCTCCGAAATTATAAATTCAGGGACCGCGTGCGCGTAGCGCTATACGCGTACGCGTTGCTTTTGTCGGCTCGCGACGCCAAGCTTTAACTCACTGGCTCGTGCGCTTAACGAAAACAAAATTTATACATCTCGTATACATACGAAGCGCAATAAAAACGGCTGCGGGTAAGCCGTAAAAGTTACACACCGAGCCGCTGATTCGGCAGTCCGCGCGGGCAGGACACGCTGTCCAATAAAATACAAGAGTCTCGGTGGGATCAAGGCAACTTTGTCTACCGGGTCAGGCTCCGATGATTAATTTAAATTTAACGGTGCTGTTACATTTCGAGTTTTTAGTATGGACGCGGCGACCAACGTTTATTACTATTTTCATTTATTTATTTATTTATTGTTTGCGAAAGAAAATGAAAAGAGCTTGTTTGGAAAAGTTCCCGAGACTACTGGTGGTATATAAAAATCAGTCGTACGAGACGCGCGCGTCAAAACAATTTCCCGCAGGCACGTATTTACAAACACGGGCGATCGCCTCGCGCGCAAGAAAAAGACGCCTCTCTCGCGCGCGCGGTAAACGAGAAGCAAGCAGGAGGCGAGCGACCGGTGCCGCGTTTTGGCGCATCGCTCGTCGGCTGCGAGCTTTTATCCGGAGACTGCGTCGGATCGATTGCGAGCCGAGCGAGGAAGCTTGTCGGCGCGCGGGTCTGATCTGTCGATGACTCGACCGTTTCCCCACCTCGCGCCCGGCGAAATTTATGAGTGCTCGGCGTCGGAGCGCACGCGTGTTTTTTTTTTTCTTTTTCTTTATTTTTCAAGGAGCGATTCGAGTGGACTTTGTTCCAGTCCTGTTTTGACGAGAATTCTTTTGCTTTTTTTTTTCCTCGAGCGTTGCTGGCAGTTATTATTGTCAGTGAGTTGTGAATCGTCAAATAAAACTCCAGGTTATAATAAGACGAGGCGATTTACATGAGTTTCGGCGATAAGCATTGAGCGTAGGATTGACTATATTTTTCTTTCGCATAATTAATTCCTCGACTATGTTTACTGCCGCAATCACTGTTTAAGGATAGTTGTTATTTTGATATTGGCATTTTAATTAGACGCGAATATAATTTTCCAGCACGCAGCTTTGATTCGCGAAGTGAAATAGATATTCGTGTTAAACATTTTCGTAAGAAAAAACAGCACCGCCGTGGAAAAATCTCGTACTATTTCTCCGTTAGCACATTTAACTCGAAACTAGTGCAGGAAAATCGCGATCGCGTCTCAAGAGTACACGAATCTATTGCAAATGGTAGAGTAATATAACGCGAGAAGCTTGGGGAAATTTAGTAAGGCACGAGTAGGGAGAGATGGTAGCCGTGAAAATGCGAAAACGCCAGTGAGCCGGAACGTATTAGCAGCAATGAAGAGATCGTTAGCCAAAGAATGGACGCTCCAGAACGAAATCCAAAGATCACGCGTACCTGGCATTGGGCCGAGCGTCTGCGAGGTGAGCGCGGGCGGCGGCTTGACGACTCTGCTCGTCTCGAGAGGATGATCGACGATGCCCATGTAGGTGATAGTGCCAGTGCTCTCGTCCTCGATGTAGAACAGGAAGGGATGAGTCGCGTGGAAGGTCTCGTCGCCCATCTTGTTTCCAAGCTCGATCGCTGCCGAGCGAGCAACAAGCAAACAATCAAAACGAGCGAGCTCTCTCGACGGGTCTCGCCAAAGCACCGATCATTTCATCAATTATCGGTAAACGCTGGGCATTCAGCTAATAGTTTCTGCGGACGATCACTCGCAGCCCCGTAATTTCGGCTGCTCGCTCGCGATAGACGAAACGCCGACGCCAGCGAGCAATTATTTGCCGGGGATGCGGCGATGGAGGCGAGTACGCTTGCCGCTGTGCCCTCTTTTACGACGGAGAAGCGCGACGATCGAGACGTTAAAAAAACAAAGTTATCGTTCGGAAGTTAAACGCTACCGATGAGGAAAGCAACCGGCGCGGTCAGAGAAATGAAATTAGCGCGGGGCATGCGCTTCCAGTATAATCACACGGTGCAGTCCTTGCGAGCGAGCTCTCTGTTTGCAGTGTACAATTTCGGACTTTTCGAGCTTCCCATTGCGCGTTAGCGAAAAAAGAGCGAAACAAAACGAAAACAAAAAAAGAAAAGACAAGAAAAGTAAACGAAAAAGAACAAAACACGAGAAAAAGTTCAATGGCATATCGGGAACCGATGATCTTTGAAAACCGTGGGAACAATTATTTCTCCCGACTTCCGATCGCGCGCAGTTGTACGTAACCAGCTTTTAACTGATTCGTCAAAAATCACGTCGGGCAAGCGCATCGGTAAAAAGTGCCAAAGTGTTGCGATAAGCGCGTCGAAAAGAAAAAAAGAGAAGTAAATTGAACGACAGTCCAACGTAAAACACATCCAAGTCAGCCGTGTGACAACGAACTCGTTTAACCGAGAGTCGAATGGTCGAATGGAATCTCTGGTTCAGAGCACAGAGCTGGCCATTCACACCTCGCTCGTTCTCACTTCTCCCGAAAGCGTCATTGAAATGCAAATAAAATCGGCCTTCGACCATTCGATACGACAAAGACGCATGATGTACGCACTGGTGGCAACGTAAGCCGTGGTTCCCTTTTCGTTGATCTCGATTCCCGCCTTCTGCACGACATCCGAGACGGCGAGTCGCCTGCTGGTGGACTTGGACTTCTGTATGCCCGTGAGAGTGGCCGTGGCCTCGAAGATGTCGCGGATGCCCAGCTGAACATAATCGCCAGTCAGCGCCTCGATCGATTGTCGCGTGCTTCGCTTCGTCGAACCTACCTCGCGAAGGTTGCTCTGCAAGTGGCTGGTGAAGTCAAATTGGAATTTGGGGAGCAGTACGTCGACGGGTACGAGCTGCAGCGTCGACATTTTCTCGGCCAGCAGCTTCGGCGTGATCTTCTGCAGCACGAAGTTCAGCTGACCGGGCGACTGCGGCAGCACGAAGTACATCGCGTATTTGCGGCCCTGCAAGCACGCGAAGACAAGTAAGCCGCGCAAGCGAAGCGCGACTCGAGAAAATGCCCAATCGAAAGGTCAGCTCACGGCATAGGGTATCCGAAGGATCTTCGAGTTGAGCTCCTCGGCGTAGGTCGCGTAGAAGCTCTTGCTGGCCCGCATGTAAGGCACCTCGATGGCAGTCTTGTCGGCCAGATAAAACTTGTCCAGCCTCGTCTGCTTCTCGTCGAAGGGCTGCTTGTCCCAGTTGCCTTGGAAGTAGAGCGCGCTCGCGATCAGCATCAGGTCGTCCTTCAAGCTCTGCTCTGCAAGGCGACGCGCACGGGCACCGTCAGACGACTCGGATGTCGATTCTCGGCATCGCGCGACGTCGATTCTCACCATCGTCTATGAGCTTGCTTATGCGCCCGTTGGTCACGTTGCTTGCGAAGTCGTTGATCATCAGCGCGACCGAGTGCGAGTCGGCGAAGCTCGCGTTGACGAGGTTCGCGCGGTAGTGGGCCTCCAGGATCGCGGCGTACGACTGGCGGGGCAGGATGGTGTTGTCGAGGTAGATGCGATTGCCGTAGTTCTGCGTGTACTCGGGGCTCTTCTCCTGAAACGCGTTTCGTTCTTCGTCGATCGGACGGCAATCGACTCGCGGAGAGCCTTCGCCTAGGCCGATCAATTGGGAGCGCGAGGAAGGAGCGCGCGGGCTTAAGTGAGTCCAATTCGAGTGTCGAGAGTCCGCTCGCGAAGAGAAAGAAGCAGAAAGAGAAACGCAAAGTCAAACTGATCGAGCGCGGCCTCTTTGCGTATGTACCTCGAGAGATCGCAGAATGCTCGTGTAGCGAGCGCGGCTCTCCTCGGCCCTCGCCGGCAGGCGGAGAGCCTTGGCGAGCTCCCGTGCGGTGTCCTCCTGCGCCCCCTCGTACAGCATGACCAGCGCCAGCTTCAGCGATATCGGTGAGATCAGGATGTTGCCTCGGCCGTGCGACGCCATGCTCTGCAACGGGCGATCGGCGGTCGTCTCAGAATAGTCGCTGTCGGTCCGCGATTACGCGCGTATACCTGCAGCAGAGCCCAGTCGAACTCGTCGAAACGCTCGCCTTTATAGGGCGCGAACTCGTCGACGTCGGTGCTGCTGCCGGTGGTCGGGGTGGTCGGCAGAGCGGCGCCGAGGGCTGCGCTCGTGGCGAGCACAAGTGCTATCCAGCCTGCAAGCAGCGCCATGGTCGGGCGTCAGTCGGCGACGCTGTCTCTCTCTCTCTCTCTCTCTTTCTCTCGCGCGCAGGGCCTCTGTCTACGCTATACTGACCTGGCGACGTCATCGTGCGCTTTGGCTCGCTCGCAGGCGCGTTGTGTCGACCAGCAGAGGAGCGTCGTGACTGCGTGCCGCTCGTTGGCCTGAACTCGCTCTTCGAGGATGTGACGACGACTGCTCGCATGAGAGGAGTAGGAGGCAGGACCGGATTGGCTGTCGATTCAGACGTGCTTCCTCGCTCGCTCCGACCGCGCGACAATGACTTCATCTCGCCGCGGATCTCTCTTTCTCTCTATCTCCCGGTTTTTTCGTCGTTTTGTTTTTGTTCTCGCGTTCATTTTTCTTTTTCCCTCGGCGACCGACACGCTCGTGCGCGTCTCTGCCGACGGCGACTCTCGATCGACGCGCGCTAGCGACACGCGTCACGGTCGGCGATCGTGTAGCTCGATCGCGCCTGTTTACGTATCGTATGGGGAAGTACGCGCATGTACGCACGCTGTCACGTCGTGCGCCTCATTGGACTTGGGCTCGGGCGACAAGTGCCCGCGCGGTTGCTACGCCTCGCGGCGCGAGTTCGAAGAGGAGAACGGGAAGACCACTTCGTTCCTTAAGCGAGTCAATGGGATTTTATTCTTTCCAGGGCATCACCTTTATTTTTCCATTCTCTGTACAAAAATTTCTTTTTTTTTTACAACAATTTTTTTTTTGAATTTTGATGTTTAATGAAAATAAATAAACGCGATTACTCGACGAACGCGGCTACGGTGAATAGGTTAGCCTGACTATGGACTTTGCGTGCATTAAATGAAGTTTTTGACCGAGGTGTAACTGTCCATCGCTGATCTTGCTAATTTCAAGGTGTAGTCCAAGTTCTCGTCGCTCATGTACGGTCTCGCCACGTTCTCTATGCGGGCTTTGATGTTCTGCAAATTAAAACTTATTGTTATGGTATTGGAGTGGCAATTACTTGACATTTCGCAAGAACAAAGCCATTGAAAATCTAATGATTATCAATTTGCTTTCATTAAACAAAAGACAAATTCAAATATCTTGAAAAAAGAAAAAAACACAACGATAAGGAAATCTGTAGATAAAACGAACCTCTTTGTTGATGTTCGGCAAATTCATGTTGAACGAGCAGAACGACGTGAACTTGCAAACCGCATGAGTAGCGACGACTCCCCAGAGTAAAAAGAACGAGAGGAACTTAGCGCCAGCAAAGATCTTGTGCGCGAAAGGCAGCAGCAAAGCTCTGGCAGTGATGGCAATGTTCTTGAGATGCGTGATACTCTCAAGGAAATCATACTTGGCTTTGTCCGGTTTTTCGGCCACCGATCGACTGACGGGGGCGACGTAGCCTTCGTAGCCAGTTTGCACAGAGAAGCCGTTGTTGGTGATGTTGACGGCTTTAGTCTCTTCGGCTGCTGGAAGAGTGCCAGCCTGGACGAGCAGCGCCGAGGTGGAGAGCAGCAACAAAACCGATGCCAGTGCCTGCATTATGCTCGTCTGCCCTTTCACGACTGATTGGTAGCGACGAGCCGTGCCTCCGCTTAAATATGACTTTCGACTAGCCGGTATGCAACGAATTCCAAACCCTTAACGGTATCGGGACGATAAGTTAATGCGCTTTGGTTAATTTTACTTTTACCTTAATTACGCGCAATTAAAGAGGAAAATCGTGACGGTGCAGAGGTGCATACTTTCGGGAAAAGTTATGACCAAGTCTTCTTTGCTCATTTACGGAAAATCTGAGCGATATCGAAGGGCCAGTCACGCGAAAGACTCGTGAAAAATTCGATAAGCTTCGCGCGCTTTCTATTGGGTTTAAGGAAATTTCCAAAATTACAATAATTATTTCGTGGCTCACGGCTTGGGAGGGTCTTTCACAAGTCATCCGGCGATTTTTATAGAGGCACGCGAAATTACGCAAGATTTGAAAATGTTTGCTGATTCAGCCCCCATTCGCATTTTATATATTATTCTATTGAATTCATCCGAGCGCTAATAAACCTATAATTTGAAATAAGAAATCAGTATAAAATTGACAATTTTTCTAACGTTTACAAAATTTACATAAAAAGTAATTAAATCATTTGCTGCAATCTTTTCGGACGAAAAATATTGTGCTTTTGAACAGATGTCATCGTTACGTTTTGATTTGCATTAAACGAAAGTTCTTAAAAGTGACTCTCAAGTAAAATCGATTAGGAAAAAGCAAGGCTCTCTTTTTTTGTAAAATTTGATCGAACCATTCATTATCGTAAGTTTTGACGGGGGAAAAAAAATAATAGGACGGAAAGCTCATTCTTGTTTCATAATTGCACGCTCACTCTGTTCGACAATAGCATCGATTTTTCATTCAATCGTCGCTAGTTGTTCGTCGATTTGGAAGTAGCTTGGAAATCAATCGCTTCGGGTGAGCGTTTGCAGTATCGTGGCAATGACCCTCGCGAAGTTCCTCGCGGGCGTCAGCTGTGATCGAGTACACAATTGGCGCACCGATCGCACGACCTCGACAAATTTACTTTTCAATCGATTCACAGTGCCTGGAATCCCGCAGACGCGGTAATAACGCACTGCGCTATTCCGTGAAAAGTCAATGACAAGCAAGTGTACCGAAAGAGAGTCGACGGCACGACCGGCAATTTTTTTGATGCCAGGTTGATCGGTCGGTAGCCTTTAAGGACGAGACGACTTGCCGACAAGTGTTGCCTGCGGCGGACCATTAGCGCAGCGTTAACTCCCGACGAGCCGATCAATACGTTACGGGGTTCCATTGCGGGTACCGCCTGGCAAACGTCCAATATTATTTTATTTTATTTTATTTTGTCCTTTTTAATTTCTGTTTCGCTACGCGCCCAAGAATTCCAAAAGAGAACAATGCCATCTCTGGGAACGGCGAAAACAATTCCAACGGATTTTCTTTCATCTGGAAATTGTTAATTGTTGTTGATCTTTCGTTCGCACCTGTATATCGTCGTGCGTGCCGGTGCATAATCTACTTAACTCGACACTTTCTAACTGCGTAGACGTTCGATGCTGATGCAGATAATCTTGCTGCGCATAAAGCCATGGTTTGGTTGCTCAAAATAACGCCGCTATAAAAGTGTACTCTCGCGCGATATATATTTGTAAGCGTATATTTCAAGTATCGAGCGAACGGATCCCTCTGTCGGGGGTAACTCCAATTTGAAAGCATTATAATCGTCAGTAAGCATTCTTTGTAACGACTTTATTGATTTCTTTTCACAAAATAAATAACAAAATGTACATTGAAGTAAGTGCAATCGGAGACGGAATCCCATCGCTTTAAGTTTCGTTTTCCTTAGCGTTCGGCTCGGGAGTCTTGGCAGTTCGGCTTTCGGCGTCCAGCTTTTTCAGCGAGTTGCGCGGGTCAAGCTGTAGTTTCGGGGCCGCCTCTTCGGGCGCGGATTCTGCTTTCGCCGGCTGCTCCGGGAGCTCAGCTGGCGCAGACGGCTGTTGCTTGTCGAAGAGGCTCGGGATCTTGGATACCGCTTCGAGTGCGTCGTAGAGCGCTGGCAAATGCTTCTGCGAGACATGCAAAACAAAGAAGGGAAGTGAAGCGAACGCTCGCGAGATCGAGCGCGTCGTGTAATTACAGAAAACGACCGCGATCGTCGAGAAGCGCGGGAGCGATCTCGATTTGCGAGCGCGTCGCAAGCGCCAACTCACCTTGTCGGGCAGTAGCGAGGCGTTGCTGGCGTTGAAGCTGATGCTGCATAGCGGCGTGAAGTTGCACAGGGTGGTCATGAAGCCGATCCCGACGAGCAGCGCGACCGCGAAGTGCAGCGCGACTTTGGCGATCTTCAGCCCGAGCGACGGCCAAGAGCCCGCTTGGTACGTCGACAGGGCCTTGTACAAGTCCAGCATCGAGGCCGACGGCAAGTCGTTCTTCCTCTGCTCGCTCTTGGTTTCGCTGTGCAGGTAGCCCTCGTAGTCCCTCTTGACCGCGATCCCGGTACTCGTCGCTTCCACGGTGTCCCTCTTGCTGGGCAGGGTGCCCGCTTGGGCGACCGCCAGGCACAAAGTCAGCACTGCGATCGTCGCGCTGGCGCTCGGCATCTCGACTCCGTGTGCTTCGCCGACCTAATAGTGCATTTCCGCGGTGGCGCGTCGGCTTATATATGCCCGACGTGCCGTGCACGTGCTCGCGGGGATGACGCATGGACGCCTGCGACGTTAAACGCGTGCCAGAGTCGTACCTTCCGATTCTCTATCGGCAAGTCGACGGCAAGTCCGCTTTCCTTCGCACTCGAGGGCTTGTTTTCGTAATTGACGAACGAAAGTGCGGCGCGTCGCGCATCTAGGAAATTTATCGGCCAGTAGATTAGGCTCCCGCCGCTTCTCGCAAACACAGACGCGATAAGGCTTTCCCTCGCGTCGTGCCATGAGTAATGCGGATCATCTCCGTAAGAACGCGGGCGCGTACGCACGCTCGATTAACAGTCGTTAATCGAGCGTGGGCCGCGGCGCGATTGCATAATGTCCCGGCAGAAAAAAGGCACGAAGAGCGCGGAATTTTCTTCTTTCGAAAAGAGTGTATTATCAAACACCGAACTATCGTTCGGGAAGGAATTGACGAGGGCGAGACGATGGTGTTAGTAGCGCGGATAACAAAGAGAGAGAGAGAGAGAGAGTGAAAATACGCGGACAGACGCGAGCGAGGTGAAGAGCGGCGAGCCGTGGGTGCGTGCGCGCCGTGCAATGCGAATCGAGGTTGCGAGGCGGGCAGTTCCCGCGCCGCCGTTGTCCGACGCGCGTTTCGCGAGGCTTTAATGACGCTAACGATGCCATTCTACGCGATGGCGCAATCGAGGCGGCTGCTGATCGCCGCGGTCCTGGCGATCGTCGTCGCCGACGTGGTACGAGCGGCGCCCGAGTCCACGTGTCTGAAGAGCAACGCGGACGTGAGTATACGATCGGCGATCGCGAGAAGAATTGAAAGTCGAGCTCGCGGCTAATCCGAGAAGGCGGGGGCGGTCGGTCGGCGCACCGCCGCGAACGATATAGCGCCGATGATGGAGCCAATGATCGCTCGCGGGTGAAAGCGCAACAGCTGCGCCTGGCGCGTTCCGCCTCGCCATAATCGCGATCCACTTTCAATTTTTCTCGCGAATCCGCGCTCCCGAGCCCTGAGTAATTCCATCGCGCGCCCGTGTCGTCGGGCTCAGCAGTGCGTTCGCAGCTCGGAGTGCTGTTCCGGATGCTGCCTGGACACCAAGTGCGTCGAATGTGAGTATGCGCGGGCGCGAGCCGAGCAGCGGCGCTGATCTTCGCAAAGGATGTATGGAAACGGTGCGTGTGCTCGTGCTCGCAGACGCCGACTCGTGCCAGAGCGACCTTGCGAAGCTGGGCGCGGGCAAGGGCGGACCGTGCGCCAACCTCGACCCGCCGTGCAAGCCGTCCTTCGCGTGCGTGCTCCAGCAAGCGACTTGCGCTCAGGCCCCCTGCAAGCCAGTGCCCACTTGCGTGCCGCCTGATTACCGCGACGACTACGACTGAAGTCTCAGCTCCACGGACAGGTGCCAGCCACACTTTTGCACTCGACTCTTGTAGAGCCTTGTACATTTTCTAGAGGAATAAATGATCCTTTGACTTTCATGGGCGATCGTGTTTGTTTGTTTTTATTTATTTATAGACGTATGACTGATGAGTCTCGAGCTGAAAACGTATAGATTTTCGGTGTAAACGTTAACGCAGTCGAGTGGATGTTGGGACGAACGTCGCAGATTGCTACGTGCTTCTCGTCGGCGTAATACCTGGAAGCGTAGAGTCGCGCGTCATTTGCCGCGAGGAGGTCTTGCGTTACTTTGTTTTTCTGCGTGCTAATATTTTCGGTTTTCCAGTTCTCGAGTGTTCCGTTGGCCTACCTCTTCAAGCCGCTTCGTCCTTGAAGCGGAGCAATCGCGTAGCATAAAAAAACGCTCTGAAATGTCTGTTTTGGTTTTTAAAAAACCAGCGCCATCTACTTCTGGGTGTGGTTTTCACGACGTATGATCGAGCACACTTCATCAAACGTACAAGATGCGTTTTTAGACAACACGCACTGGAGTAGTGATAGGCGCGCTCTAGATTATTGATCAAAACATGGAATCATGGAATGTCGTGAGTGCTAAAGGAAATGCAGCGGATGCGTTTGCTCGTAGGAGTTACATACGCCAATAAATAACAAGTCGCATTGCTACTATTTTTAGATTTTTAATTGTATTAATATTTTATTTTGCAGTTTTTTTAATATAATTTCGTGCGATACGCGACGTTTTTTTCATGAAAATCTTTAGATTTAATCGAGGATTAATTATTTTTGGCTTCGCCTAACCTATACGAGTGTACAAACTTGGAAGTTGAGACTGAAAAATTTAGGTATTCCAAGCTATTATGGCTGTTGTTGGTGACTCCGTTTCTCTGGAAAGAGGTAACATTCAGGTAAATCTAAATGACTGAATAAAGTGATCATTAAAATAATACTTTTTTTGCAGATATCAAAAGATCCATTGAACTCTTAGATAAGTTACAAAAAAGTAAGTTAGTTACTCATCAATTTTCTGCTTTTGGTTCTGAGAAGACCAATTTAGCAATCATTGTTTATGTAGGTGGAGAGTTTCCAGTATCAAAGTTTGTGGCTTTGCAAAAAGTCTTGCAGAGTGACTTTTTACATGCGGTACGAGAGATTTATGAACACATATATGAGTCTGTTGATATTCAGGTAAGTTTTTAACTACATATTGAGCTTATAACTTATGAACTTGATTAATTCATTGATTAATTTCATTGAACATAGGGATCACAAGATGTAAAAGCATCAGCCACTGCCAAAGCTACAGTTGCAGCTTTTGCTGCCAGTGAAGGTCATGCACATCCCAGAGTTGTTGAGCTGCCCAAAACTGATGAAGGACTAGGATTTAATGTTATGGGGGGTAAAGAACAAAACTCACCTATTTATATCTCTAGAATTATTCCTGGAGGAGTAGCTGATAGACATGGAGGACTGAAACGTGGTGATCAATTATTGTCTGTTAATGGAGTGGTAAGTTTATGCTAGTATGATTTTACAATACAAGAACTTTTTCATGATTGACTTACAATTGATATCTATTATTAGTGTGTAGAAGGTGAGAATCATGAAAAGGCTGTGGAGCTACTGAAGCAAGCTCAGCATTCTGTTAAACTTGTTGTTCGTTATACACCACGAGTCTTAGAAGAAATGGAAATGCGCTTTGATAAGCAAAGATCCTCTCGCAGACGTCAACAGTTACACTAAATTATCTTATTGCAGTTGTCAATGTTATATTACTATAACTGTTACCACAATCAATACAAAGAAACACTTTTAACATTTGTGATTGCAAGATACAAGAAGTTTATGTAGATCTAATCTTACAGGGTCTATGTAAAGTACCTGCATTTACATAAATGAAATAGTATTCTAGGATATTTTGGCATAATATTTAATGGAATATTGATCCATCACATATACTTATTTTAACAAGTTTTAATAAGCTTAGTGATTCTATCTTCATCCATTTATTGCTAACAAGCATCCATCAACTAATCATTCAAATAATTATCATAGATTATTTACTTACAAAACATTTCTCTATGGTTAATTTGGTCAAAATCAAAATAACGTACTTGATCTGATAAAATTTTGTGATTACATTATAAAATACTTAATGTTATCACAAATGTACATCATTTAAACTTAGTAGCTTGAGCAGCTACTATATATTTAGATAATATGTTCTTCTACATTAGAAAATTATGTGAAATTATATTTTAAATTGGAAAAAATAAAGTGATTGAATTTTACAGAATATCGTTTCTTTCAATGTTTTTTTTCCTATTTTGTAACTCCTTTTTAAAATTTCGAAAAAAACATTCTAAATATAACATACTTTCAAATCATTTGTCTGTAAATTTATGTATTTACAAATAATAGTCTTAATTTTCGTAATTCAATAAGTAAATTGGTTGCAAAAAAGTGACCGGTGCATATACCTAACGTTGGGATTAAATTAAAACGTGAATGCAGTATGGCAGACAGTATGGAAAACTTTAGTGCTTGAAAGAGCAAACTAAGTATTCACTTGCGAAATTTTACTGTTCCGTTAAAAAATGTTTGATCATTGTTGAGTGCTTTTTTATTCGGCTTGAGCCGTTACTTCGAAATAACTGTCTACTCATGATTATTAAAGAGCACAAGGAAATGTTAAGAAATTGCAGACTTAGACAATTTTTCACATAGCGACGTCAATTCGACGAATTCCAAAAATTAATTGTTGGTTGTTGCTACGTCATTTGATTGCAAGGCTGTTTACAATGGTTTCATTAAGCAGACTGTGGTTTTTTACATGTTGCGGTATGTCTGTATTGTCAAAATATAAACAAATGTTTATTTACATTTTATGTCATCGCATATCATAACCTTAAAATCAATTTTCAATCAATATTCTAAATTATATAAGGCAATCATAAATAATCTATACTAAATTAATTACATTAATGCACCAATTACATTTCTCATTATTAATGAACATATTTATTTCGATAAGATAAGAAAACGTTAATCTGACTTGGTAGTCATTATATTTTTTTACAAATTATTTTGTATTGTTGCAAAGTGTCAATAATGTTTGAAACATATCTTTTGATATTTTAGTCATTACTAGTTTAGTAAATATCAATGGGGCAGAGGCATCACGGGTATTGGAACTTGGTGATAGATTTTTGGATGTTCATAAGGAGGGGCAATGGCTTGTTATGGTAATAATTACTTTTGTAGGTAATTCTATAGAAATATAAATACATTAACACTGATTGTTTGATGATTGCTTAGATGTATGCACCATGGTGTGCACATTGTAAAAAAATAGAACCAATTTGGGCACATGTTGCTCAATATTTACATTCAACACCAATTAGAGTTGGGAGAATAGATTGCACTCGTTATACTAGTGTATCACATGCTTACAAAATTAAAGGTTTTCCAACAATTTTATTGTAAGTTAATTATCATTGTTTTAAAACTTTACAGCTTGTTTGGTTCTTTTTAAGTAACGCTTGTTTGATTTTTCAAACAGCATCAAAGGGGACGAACAATTTGTTTATAATGGAGATAGAACAAGAGATGAAATTGTTAAGTTTGCTACAAGATTGAGTGGGCCACCAGTTCAAGAAGTCACACGTACTGTTAGTTTTGATAGTTTAAAAAAAGATAGAGATTTGTATTTTTTATATGTTGGAGAAAAATCTAGCCCATTATGGGTAAGAATAATTTGATGAAACTTTTAAAGTATAAAGGATTATACTAAATATAGATTTCCTATTTTTTAGGAATCCTATCACAGTATTGCTAGTATTTTTCAACCACATGCATTTTTTTACCAATCTCATCCAGTTGTTGTAGATAAACATGCTCCAATCGAACAAACTCCTTCACTTTTTGTATATAAAGATAATGTACATTACAATTTTACAGGTAAACTGCTAATTCAACATATTTGACATTTTAAGTTTAAAAGTATCTAATAAATATTTTTTAAAATCTAGATATTGGTATATCTGATAAAGAAAAACTGAATGAAACATTGTATAAATGGATAAATGCAGAACGTTTTCCAACTTTTCCAAAAGTGACTAGAGGAAATATGCATCAGTTATTCTTAACAAATAAAAATCTAGTCTTAGCAGTTGTAGAAGAAAATCAATTGGAAGAAGTTCCACCAGACATGCTTGAATTCAGGGATATGATTGAGGCTGTGATCAAGAAGAAACGCCACAAATATCATGAGTAATGACTTACAAACATACTGCAATTTAAGATTGAAAACAAACAAAAATCAATTTAATTTATTTTTTAGTCATTTCCAATTTGGTTGGGTGGGTAATCCAGAACTAGTCAATAGTATTGCTATGATGGTTCTACCACTGCCAAGTTTGATTGTAATTAATTCCACTACAAATCACCACTACATTCCGGAAGATGAACCAGAAAAGTTAACACCACATGTGATTGAATTGTTCCTAGATAAAATTAGAGCTGAAAGTGTCCCGGTAATTGTATTTATTATTCATCAAATAATTTGATGCATAAACTTAATTTAAAACAATCAGTAAATAATATATTCTAATTTTTAGAAATATGGTGGAAATAGCATTGTAGTAAATATATACAGATCATGGTTCGAAGTTAGATCTGCACTTGTATCTATGTGGAAGGGAAATCCTGTTCTAACTCTGGTCTTATTTGGTCTACCTGCAGGCTTTTTGTCACTTATTTGTTATAACATTTGGTGTCCAGATATATTTGATGCAGATGAAGAAGATGAAGGTATGTCAGAGAGTTTTTAATAATAGAATATGTAAATATTAAAAAGTTCTTGATTTATTTGAATATTTTAATATTTCAGATACAGAATCAAGTCATGCAAAGAAAGACTAGATGCGCGGTTGAATAAGACAGATATTTCAATACACGAAGTGAGAATTAGTTATTTTATGCATTTAACCATTTTTCCAGATGTGACAATACTTTAGTTAATTTATTATGTGAATATGTGGAGTGACATGAAAATGTGTTTTGTTGTGTATTTTAAACTGTATTTAATATTCATTAATCAAAATTATTAACATGGTCGTTGAGGATTCGATCGTAAATTGTATATTTTATATATTTTAACTTCAACTATTCTTAACAATAGTATAGTATAGAAAAAGAATTCATAAAATATCAGTACAGTAAGCATATTCCTATTCTTGTATAGCATTTAAAACTCAGTGTTAAGTGGAAATGTGTTAAGTGGAAATAAAGATATTGTTATGTTTTCCGCTGTTATATTACAAGTCATCATCGTCTGAATCTAGTGCTGCTCTGCGCCTGTCAAACTGAAACATTCAGTGCAATAAATATTTGTACTATAGATACAAAATAACAAATTAATTTTTGTGCAAACAATACAATAAATCTCTTTATTTCATATATCTAATTTTTAAGCTAAAGTGTTTAACTGTGTTTTGTTACATGGAAGTAAGCAATGCATTTAAAATATGTTTATGAAAATTGATTTAAGAACTAAAATTTTTAAACGGAAAAGTTTTTGCTACATTAAATATAATGTTCACGGAAAAATTAAATTGTAATATTTATTTTTAATTCACTTACTTTGACTGTAGGAGTACTTTTATTTGTTTGTTTATTTATAGATTCCAAGATATTAATTAACTCTGGTTCTCCCAATTTTCCTGGAATTTGTCCTCTTTGTGCCATAGCAATGATCATATTTTCAACCATTTTTCCTTTTTCAGGTTTACCTAAACTTAGGGTATTTACTGAAAAACAAAATTCTATAAAATAATCAAAATTTTAAGTTTTTAAAATCTAGTCAAATATATATAAACTTACATCTGGCTCTTGCAGCTTGATCAAGACATTGGCTAAGTATTGAGTTTCGCATGTCTTGCATTTGTTGTTGTTTTTCAACTGCTGCTTGCTGATTGTTGGCATTGTCACCTTGCTAAAAATAATTTCTAGTAAAGTTCAGTTTAATGTAATTTATAAACAAATTTTAATAATTAAGTATAATTTAGAACAGCTAATAGGAATTTTCAATGTATTAATTCAATTTATATATACAATATTTATACAATGTACATTTTTAGTTTATATTATTTTTCAATAAATACAGTACTTTTACTTTAATTAATATATTAATTGTAGGTATTCTTTTTTACTTCTAACCTCAAAAAATTGTATTTATACTTATAAATGTAAACGTATTATTCATACTTTTATACATTCAGAAAAATTCATATCAACAGAATTCTTTTTAAATTAACTAAAAAATTCAAATTAATATTAACTTTTAATTTATACGAATATAAATTATTACGTTACCTTATACTGCGACTGTAATTGTGCTAATCTTTGTTTACGGAGTTCTTCAAGATCTGAATCAGCCATTTTTATAAATTAAACTAATTAAACAGTAATAACTAGCAAATGAAATAAAAAAAACTTTCTGAACTCCTTTTATGGTTTTCAACTCAAATGTGCGGCTTTTACATTACATTCACGCGCACATAAGCGCGCATGATGCACACAACACACTTATAAAGCAGTTGGTGATTAATTCGAATAGGAATTCTTTTTATCGACGTAAATCTTATAGAAAAAAATACTTACGATAATGAATGAATTTTCAAATAATCATCAAAATAATTATTGTTAAATGAATACCAAAATGTAATTTTATATACACATTTTTATTTAATAATGAATTAACTACATTATGCAGTTGCTGTAAATGAATCATGTATACCTTTCAATGTATGTATAATAGGGTAATGAATGATCAATTTATAATCATACATAAAAAATGTTTATAAAGTTGAAACATTAAGAGTATAGTTCCAAATATTTACACTTCCTCTACTTATTTATATACATTATGCAGCTTAAATTCTGTTTCAAATATAAAGAGGAGCATTTACACGTACTAATTATAACTGATACATACAACATAATAAATTTATTACATAAAACAAGCATGTACATCGGTGAAATTTCTTTTATATAAGTAATTTATGAGGATAATAAAATATAATAAAAAACAGAAACTTATAATATATACTTAATAAATTTTTTTTTTCATCTTTGACAACGTCAATAAGAAAGATATTCTCTACTTTGTAAAGCTATTACATACTCAAAAGCTAAATTTTTCAAAGAGACATTCTGAAAGAATCAACGGCACAATTAAAAAACAATCTCTTTTTCATCATTAAGTAACAATATACCATATTCTTTGATCCAACAATTATCAATAACAGTTTAATAACTAGGGGGTAATTCAACATTAGAAAAACGAATACATAATACGTAAAGTTGTTAAGCAATTATATAAAAGTAATAATCAAATCATATTGAGCCAAGAAATCTGCTGCATATTTCTTCTTAATATACAAAATTGTAATATTTATTAGTAAAAAACTTTATTTAGCTATAAAAATAACTTTTTTGTTATGGAAAAATGTATCTGATAAATAAATTCTGTTGGGTATTAAAAAAAAAACTAATGGTTTATCCGATTTCTTGTCACGCAGTTACTTATATCGTATTACTCTGAAAGTTTACTGTTCAAATTAAACTTACGTGAAAATATCTCCATTTTTACCTAAAGTTGATAAAATATTTTTACTATTAGGCAGATCGTGATTAAATAACTAGCACTGTTTAGGTCAAATTGAATCCAAGTACATACATTTATGATTACATACAAGATTTTTCTGCAAATCTTTGGCAAATTAAAGCTTTTTGCAGAAAAAGGTAAGACGTCGCTGTTTTGTACATAACTCTAACAATCGTACTTTTTAACAAGCGTTCATTTATCAAACCCATCTCTCATAATTCTACCAAACTTTTAGGCTACATTAACGTATTTGAAAGAAAAAGGCAAAAAGCTGTACAACACTGTTCAATCGAAATAAGAACATTTGTTTCAAAACTCAATTTTTTTACAACTTTTACTACTATATAAGTGATATGAAATCATACACTCTATCCTAAATTGTAATAAATCATTTAACATTAAAAAGTGCAAATATTTAACGGAAACAAAGTCAAATTTTTATAATCATCTCTTTTCTACAAGATAATTTTACATCACTTTTCTATATATGTTACATAAAAATGTCAGTATGTGCACGTTACTGTACTCACCCTGATTTTCTTTCAATTCTATTTAGTCACAGAATGACGTTTACACTGTGCTGGTTAATGTACACGAAGCATTAATGTTTGGCAAAGCCGTCACACAATTTATACCGGAAAGCGTTTAGATAAAAATATCTAAACGATTCTCATGTATTTTGTATCTTCTATAAATTCAGTAAAGCATACATACGTGTGATTGAGCGAATTTGATAAAGAACAACAAAAATATTAGGTATTCTGATAAAAAGTATTATTGCACAAAATAATTTCAAAAATTCGGAAAAAGAATATAGATACTTGAACCATACCGGATATATATAAAATAGTTGTACAAAAATTGCTTGCTTATTTTTTGTTTTGATTATTGAATAAAAACCTGTGCTGAAGTATCAAAACGTCGATGTAGATCAAATATCGTTCGTCGATAGGAATTATGGGAGAATCCAATCACTCTAGTTATCAGTCTCTAGCACGTAAAATATTAGCTCTAGCACTGTTTGCGTGTCTTCACAGCCTTGAACAGCTTTTTGCAAAACTTGAATTAGTTCATTATCCAAGCTGTTCATATATATCGGTGGCAAACGCGTTCCCTCGCTTCCGGCCTCGTACCCGACCTAAATATAGAAGAAACATCAAAAACAAAGCGGAAATTTATCAAACGTTTGTTCGTATATCGAGTATAAATATTTACGTTATCTGGACTAATGGTAGTTCGTACAGCAATTTTCGTGAGTCCTGCATTTACCAATAAGTCGAGTAATTTAACAAGTGCAGCACAGGTAGCTCGCGCTATGCTTTCCGATAGTTTATTTATATCCACAGGGTAATGTATTCCAAATGGTTGATCATCATCGGACTACATAAATAATTAAATAATTAGCGCTACGGTAATCATTTAAGCGTCAGGCAATGCAACGAATGTTACCTTAATTATGAAAACTTCCGTCCAACGTATGAACCTGCTTGTTCCAACAAAGTTAATTCCATTGTGCACTCTAATAGAAGGAATTCCATCCATAGGTTTATTATCAATTGGACTTTTTACACTGAAATTAATTTTATTTACCATAAGTTTCATGAAAATACGAATTATAACTGTGAATAGACCAAAAATATTGCCTCACCTTAAATTGAATTGCGTATCGTTTTCCACCCACTTAATATTCACAATCTCATCTGGTTCTGGAGCACCTTGTCGACCACAGCCAATCGTGAAGTCTTGCATATTTTTTAGAGTAGCTTTCAAAGCTTCCATTTTTTCAGGCATTATTTGAACCATAAGACCATCCTCAAGTATACTTGAATTTGCCGAGAGACCCGCGGATGATTTCAAAGCGCCATTAATAATAATAAAACTGGCACCAGTTACTGTAGAAACAGATAACGCATGCCAAAATATTCAAATAAAAATTTATTTCCCGATAAAAAAAATACGTTTACCTTTTCGAGGCTTATTCTGTATATTGATAGCTTGAGTTTGATAAGTGCTTTCATCCTCAGAATTAGTCTGCATGCAAACCAAATGCGAATCAGCTTGAATGCTAAAGTTCGCGGCAAACACAAGCACGTGGTCATCGGAATTGTTAACACCTTTGATAACTTGGTTGTATCTGTTTTTCGGCAATCTGACCATAGTAGTTCGGTCCTGCATATGGATTGTAAGCCCTTGTACTTTGGGGAGCGTATAGGTGAAGTTTCGGAAGTCCGCAAGGACTTTCATAACTGTGTGTCCAATCTCAAAATACACCGCATCTCTGAAGCGCACAGATACCAACGGGCAGGGGTAATATCGATACTCGGCACCTAGTCGTAATACAAGTCGTAATGGGAAAACTTTTGCCCATGGAGTTTCCCATCTGCATAGATTAAATCATTTAATGCGTTAAATCGCCAAGTATAAAATTATCGTTAAATATGCATGAATGCAATTACCTATGCACCAGCAGGCCGAATAAGAAGGGAGCTGGAGGAACTATGACTTTTTGTAAGCATTGCAGAGTTTGCCTGATGAAGAGAAAGCCCGCGTGCTCGCGAGATCCCAGCAAGTTTCCGCTCTGATGAATGGATATTGCGTACTCGGACAGCGTATTTCCTTTTGTAGCTTCATGATAAATTTGATTGATATGAAGTAATAGATCTTTTGGAACCTCAGTTTCATCCGGCATAGTTTCAACTAAAAATACTATTTCATCTTGACCAACGCAGGCTAAACCTTTCGAAGTTACATTCCAACATGTTCTATTAACACAGCAGTTTACTGCAGAAAAGAAAACGTTATAAATCAATTTCTTTTCGTGGCACATAAAAGTGTTATTAAAGAGAATCAACTTACAATTAACTATTTTTACATAAGCATACAGATTGCGATTAATTGCAAACATCACTGGAGATTTACATTCGTTTTTCAAAGTAGCATAAAGTGCGCTGATGTCAGTAACGTCTTGATAAATGATTTCTAAAAAACAGTAAACAGCATATCATTTCAATGTTCCTACAAGCTTTAAAAACTTATTTAAAATAGTTTCCGAACTTACGTCCTTTGTGTATCGTCACAGTTGGAGGCAGAGCCTCAGGATCATGAGGGATATAGCTATTTGTTGCGAGATCGATCGGTGGACAATTTTGTTTTTTATGCAGAGAGGAAGCTGTGTAGCCGACGCTTCTTCTACTATTATTCTTCCTGATGGTGGCTGGTTTCCAATCCCAGGAAGTGTCGAGCTCTGTCAGGTCACAGCCAGGCCTTATTCCTGTGTTGTTCGTGAGATATGCGTGTGAAAACAAAACAAACGGGATTTGGGATTCTTGGGGCCCGAAGTATGCCATTAAACACACTCCGAGGGGGCGAAATAAAAGTTAATCTTGTTTTCAAAGGAATATGAAACAAACTCAAAATTAACTCAAAAGCGTTAAAAAGGTATGAGTGTTGTGCATGACGTGTGTGATTCACATATATATTTCAATCGCAAAACCATTCAGTGTAAGCAAATTCAGTGTGTGAAAAGTAAAGAGAAAAACCATCTTGACGATCCTGAGCTTACCATCGCTGAACATCACAGATTTGGGCCCTTCTGAGCGTGGCTTTGTACTGCCTTCTCGTTTCAGTACTCCAACTGGCACCATGACCGTGGGCGGTGGCGGTAGGACACCTGCCAACTGTTGCAAAGGCGGTATCGTTGAACAGTACTCCATGGGATTATTTGGATTTGGTGGACGACCCTATAACCATTTGTCAAATACTCCAGAACTCTCAGCTTCTTTGCTACTAGGTTTTTACTTTTTGCAAGTTCACTCGAAAATTCGTCATGCCTAGGTTTTTTTATTAATAATTGGACTACCAATTCAAAATTTTTTTGGATAGAACTAATTTCGTAAAACCATTAATTTACTCAGAAAATATTTGTCATTTCGACATGCTCAATTTATCGACATATTTATTTTTAGAATTTTTCCGAATAGTTTCTTTCATGCTTGATTCAAAATGTATGTAACGAGGTTGAGGTATTCAACAAGTTGTTACAGGTTTATCATACTTGTGCATTCTCTAAAGACTAAGATTAGTAAGAAGTGTGCAATTCCTATTAGATTCAATGCGATTAAAGAAAATAAGCGTGCAATTATGGCATGAAAGGGAAAAAACATACCTGAGGTGAGTTTATGCTCGTTGGATTTATGCTTTGGAAGCCAGTGTAATCTCCCGAGCCGTTATCACTTTCCGCTGAAATTATAATTGTTCAATATGTATTATTAAATGAACAAATGATAAAATATTAATTTTTCATTTAAACGGAATACATAGAATACCTTTTGACAAGAGTTGATGACACGGAATACATACTCGCGAGTCGACGTTATTTTGATATTCCAAACGGAATTTCATACTGCAACATTTACTACATAGAACCTTGCCGCAAGCTCTGCAATGATGTCTCCTCTTGACAACAGTGAACTTCGTATCGCAAAGCATGCAGTTTGACGCATCACTGTCAGGTACCCAGAATGGTGGCTGTTTGCCAAGCATCATTCCACCAGATTCCATCGATGAATTTTCTGAAATATCTGGAGATGGAGCTCTTATGTTGTCACGGTTGCCTTCGGTGTCTGATGATTCTTGATTGTACGATGCTCCTATTTTGCATAATAAAAGAACGATTATTATTCACCAAAAATTGCTTTTCGATGCTATGTATAACTTTACCTGCAGACGAAGTGTTGGACATGACAATAGATGACGTAACGTCGAGAGTTTGAGGCCTGACAGGCCGATTGGGATCATCGTCACTACTGTCAGTGTGTTCAACATTGTTTTCCAGAGTTTTTGTTTTCGTGTAAGCTTGACTAGGATAACTGCGACAACCAAGTTTGTCGTTAACATCGACGTTTCTCGTAACGGAGAACCTCGAGATAGTTTCCGTATTTCTAACAGGTGGTCTACTGTTAAGTTTTTTATCGTCAGAGGTGTTATTGATTTTTAGCTCGCTGTCGTCCATATTCTTGTTGTCAACATTGTCAAATTTGGAAGTGCTGCTCTTGGAGCAGTTTAGATTTTTATTTTCCTCCGATGCGGCAGCTCTTATGCTTTCGTTATTATCCGAATCGTTAGTAGCTAAATAATTACCATTTTCCTTGTCCGACTCGTCATCTTTGTTGACTTTGTTGTCGTCTCTATGACTAGATTTCTGAGGGATTGGCTCTGAATTATCGGAACATTTTCTTACTTTCTCGTGCGTCTTCTTGTTCACCTTGATCTTTGTTTCGTCGTCGGTAACTTGCATGCTGATTTTACTTGACTCTGACGTTTTCTTTACAGTTGTTGAGAATTCCCTCGAACTTTCACCGCTACTTCCGGAGCTTCCTAAGCTATAGTCAATGACAGGAAATTTCTTGGCTTTTTCTTGCAAGTCTTCCTGAGAAACTTGAGGTAGTTCTCCTATTGTTACTGCTTCGAAAATTGGCGCTTCATTGGCATCTTCATCATTTTGTTTAGCAGATAACGGTTTGGTTTTCAATTCTGCAGGCTTCTCAGATGAAATATTTTCATATACTACTAAAGCTCCTTCTGTAGCTCTTTCTTCTGCTTCTAATTCAGCTAAATACTTGTTCAATTCTTCTTCGGACATATCATCGATTGTTGGAAAGCCAATGACAGATTTTGCCTCTGGCACTTGTACTGGTGGGTGATCTAACTGTACATTTTGAAAAACTAATTTTGTTGGATTTATTATTGAGGTTGTTGTATTTGAACTTGCAGCTGTATTGGTAAATGCAGTTTGAGGTTCTGATTCTTTCAAATTGAGCTGATCAATCATTTTTTTGGCTGCAATTTCTAATTCTGTGTTAGTTTCAGGAAGATTCTCCCTATTTCCAACATAGATGCACTCGTACACTCCATCTTTGTTTTGAGCTTCGAAATTTATGTTTTCATAAGTATGAGCAGCTACTTCAGAATTTATTGACTTAACTTCATTCACTGTTCTGAATACATCTTGAGCTTTTGGAATATCTGTTCCAATATAAACATTTTCATACACATGCTCTGGCTCACTCAATAAACTATTTGTACTATTATCAGATTTCTCAAAGTAATTCAAGCTTTGATTATCTTGTGTCAGAAAATCTGAAAATCCTAAGCTTGGATCTAACTTCACAGTATTATTTTCACTAGTTTTTTTAGGTATACAAGTATCTAGCTTAGTGGGCAATAAAATATTTTGATACTTGGGTGGTACTGAATTGCATTCTTTTTTATTAGACATCAGATCTTCTTCTCTTGTTGACAATAAGTCATCAATGGAGCATTTCTCAACAGGTTCACTACTGCTTTTAGCAAAGCTTGACATGAAAGAGTCAGCCACATCAATAATGTTACTACTCTGGCCAGTATTGACAAAGCTAGAACTAGTAGCAGCCATATAATCAGCATGATTGTAAACACTGCTAATACCAGCTTGCATGCTCGGTTGATTCAAAATCTTGTTGTAGCTAGTCTGATTGGATAAAATGTTATCGTTTGGCTGCTTCTGCAGCAGTTTTTGCGATATGTCATTGTGTATGGTTAAAGGTGACTGATCAACATCTAGATTAAAACCGTGCTTATATTGCATCTTATCATCATGTAGGTTATCGTAAGTATAAAAATGATTTATTGAATCTAAGTTGTCAATCATGCTCTCTGGTTTTCTTATACTATCAATATTACTAGATATGGATGTCTGATCTCTCACAAGATTCATTCCCTCATTCCTCATACCTGTCCCATCTAGAATATTAACTAAACCTAAATCACTGTTAGCACTAGGTTCTGTCTGTGGCTGATGATAAACAGTTGAGATTCCACATTGCATGTGCAGGCTTGAATGCATGGGTGGAGCAGAAGCTGCTGCCCCTTGCTCTGAATGACCTGAAACATCAAAATACGTTCTACAGTTGCTGGAAAGCTCTGCAAGCACATAGGATCAGGTCAATACATACCTGCATTAAAGTCAAAGTCATCAATAACTTTGTCCAAATCGACAGTGAATTTCTCCATGGTCGTGTCGTCGTCGGCTTAATCAATGAGTAACGCTGTCATTTAACCTATGTAGCATTTGACGAGTCGTCTCTCGAGAAATTATTAGTCGTCAACTTATATGGCGAACGAGGAAATGGCGAGAGCAGCTGCAACAGGACGAGCATGGAGAGGCAAGGCAATAGCGGCTCCCGGTCGTCAAGTGCATTTGAAGCCTTGATTAAACAGCACCGAGAGTCATCAAAGTCGTTTCTGAAAACGGAGAGTGCCGCAATAGGAGCAGCATGATTAGCAAAAACTTCAAAGGAATACACGCGAGCAAGGACAAAATAAACAAAAGAGAGCCCAGCTTATTTATACCTCGTGACATCAGCTGTGCGGGAGCAGCAGCAGCAGCAGCGAGTGTTGACTTAAGTTCTTTGACAGCCGCGAATTTTCCTCTTCGGTTAAGTCCTTTCAGCCGCAGCCCCGAATTCCTCGTCGCAGTGACGATCCATCCTGATCACGTGAAAACGTCTAAACTGTTGGTCTGACGGTTTGTCTTTGCAAGAACTCAAGAGAACGTTCATGCACTTCGTTGCACTTTGCACTTTTTTTCTCTCTTACCTACGGACGACCGACGTACACCTCGGTAAAAGTTATTGCTTGTTCGTTCGCAGTCAGTAAATGTAAAGTGTGATACGGACAATAGAAATGGCAGCTTGCGTCGATGCGACATCTCACGGGAGCGCCAATTGTTCGAATTATGCGCGTTTGCATTGCGATTGTATCGGTATTGTGTTGCGCTCTAATAGAAAGTAACCTATAAAAATGCACACATAAATCGCTGCCATTTACATTATAAATGACTAGAATGACCTTTTCCTTCTCGATCAAAATCAAACTTGCATTCAAATTAGATTATTTGCCGAAAATTAGCCAAACTCAACATAATAAATAAAAGCTCCACTTGGTAGCTCCAGCTGGTAAAAATAGTCCAATTAAAATACATCTCTGTTCATTGCCACGCGAGATTCTCATCTTTTTTTCTTTTCGCAATCGGGGTCCATCAGTTCTCATTCTCACTTGCTTGGTTTGCGTGCGCGTGTTGTAACTCATATTTTTAACTCTTCTAATTCGTAGAAATTCAACACGCGCGCATTTGACAAGAGAAAAAGATAGCTGGAGCAAACAAAAAAGCGAAGGTCGAGATATATATCAATGATGCAATCGATCTCATCATAATAGAATTATTACCGAGCGAAAGCTTGTGCAATGCCGCTATATCGAGCGCTTGTTTTAACTGTTGAATGTTGCATCTATCGTATGCTAAATTATAAATCTTTGTCGCTTCCTTGAGAGAAGAACAAACAAAGAGGGGAAGGAAACCTTCGCAACTAATCGCGGCCTCGTTAGAATGGGGCTCCAGCACAGTTGTTTTAATTAGGTGAGCTCTCTTCGTCGCGTGGGTCTTGACATTGGGGCCGACAACGTACGGCGAGAGAAGTGTGGTGTCTGTCAGTGGTGTGCGCGGCGGCGGCGCAGTGCGCTTGCCTAAAATGGCGACTTCCTTGTGTGATGATTGTCCGCTGCTACTCTGACAGGCAGAAGTCCGGAAACTCGCAATCGCGTGGGCGTTCTGTACGCGCGCGCGAAAAGTTATAGTCCCCTCGCTGACATCGACGTCGTTGTTGTCCAACGACTGTTGCGAGAGTAAGTACAAGATCACTTCTGTTCGGTTAAGAAAAATAAACTCCGCAATCGAATTTTCTTCGTCGTGCATATAAACGTTCGATGTCGCGAAAAAGTACGAGGGTTGAGAGGACAGTGCAGTACTACTCCTCGCAGTGATGAAAAGGAAAAAAAGATTGAAGATATTATGGGGACGACTAATGGCTTTACATCGTTCAACGTAACCGAAAAACGACAGGCTCCAATGTCGACCTAATTTATCACTGCTATCCGTTCGTTCGATTCCTATTTTCTTTTGGTTTTTTTGTCGATCGCCAAGAGCGATCGTATTATTATACGAGAGTAATCATGGCTGAGGATGAACTTTATCCTATACATAAATGTATATTCGAGGGGGACATGAAAACCTTGAGTTCTCTTATAAGGACTCATGACATTACAGCTAAAGATAAGCAAGGTACTGTGCAAAGCAGACATTTATTGATTTGCTTTTATGTTTTGCAGTTTTAACGTCGGTCTATACATTTGTTCTGTTGCAGGAAATACCCCATTACATCTAGCTGTTATGCTAGGTAGAAAAGGTACCATCTCTCAATTATAATTATAGATTGATTTGGAATGTGCCTTTGTGCTAATTAGAGGTTAACGTTACAGAATGTGTTCAATTTTTATTGACTCATGGAGTACCTGTTAAAGTTAAAAATATTTCTGGATGGAGCCCTTTAGCAGAAGCAATTAGTTATGGCGATAGGCAAACCAGTAAGTCATTTATCTAAACACCTGAAATTCAATTGCCTTAAAAGTTTTCCTTTTAATTTAGTTTGTTTTCCTTTTTATTTATAGTATCATCCCTTGTAAGGAAATTAAAACAGCAAGCAAGAGAGCAAATGGAAGAAAGAAGACCAAATTTAGTGGCAGCTTTGCGTCAAATGGGAGATTTTTATATGGAACTTAAATGGGATTTTCAAAGTTGGGGTGAGTAAAAGTGATGCATTATTGCATACAATAATTGAAAAATATAATGATTAAATTGTGTACTGTATTTCAGTACCCCTAGTATCTAGGATACTACCTTCAGACATTTGCCGAATACATAAAAGTGGAGCATCCATTAGAATGGATACAACTTTAGTAGATTTTAATGACATGAGATGGGAAAGGGGTGACATATCTTTTATTTTTAATGGAGACCAAAAACCAAGTAAATCCCTTACTGTTCTTGACAATAAAGCCAAACTTTTTCAACGAGTTAGATATGAGGTGATTAATTTTATCATATCTTTATTGCTCTAGCAACAGATCAATGACTATTTGATATTTTAGGAAACAGAGCTTGAAATTGAAGATGAAGTTGACATTTTAATGTCTAGTGATATAATGGCAGCTCAAATGTCAACAAAAGGTATTACTTTCTCCAGAGCACAAACTGGCTGGATTTTCAAGGAAGATAGAAGAGTGAGAGTTTATTTGTAGTTAATCTTTATTCTTTTGTATATTGATTCATAACTTAATATTTTATTTTGCAGGAAAAAGTTGGCCCATTTCAAGCAGATTTTTATCAAATTAATGGTATGGTGCTAGAAAGTAGAAAAAGGAGAGAACATTTAAGCGAGGAAGATCTTCAAAAAAATAAAGCCATTATGGAATCACTGACTAAAGGTTCATCTCAAGGTTTTCAAAATGGAGAAGTAAGCACCAGTAAAGAAAAATTGTTATCCATCATTTTATTTTATATTTATAGTATTGTATATTATTATAGCCTCCTATGAGAAGGGCATCTTTAAATCCGCCACCCAATTCAAATATTACATGGGAAGAATATATCTCAGCTCCACCGGGTCAGTGTCCACTGCTTGGTAGAAGTTTAGTGTACAAAGAAAGTAGCAAATCGTTTAAAGCCACAGTGGCGATGAGCTCAGACTTTCCATTAACGGTAGAGATGCTACTTAACGTTTTGGAAGTTATAGCACCGTTCAAGCATTTTAATAAATTGCGAGAGTTTGTACTAATGAAGTTACCACCTGGTTTCCCTGTGAAAATCGACATACCAATTCTTCCGACAGTTACGGCAAAGATTACATTTCAAGAATTTGCCTTCAAGCAAGACATTGGCCCAGAATTGTTTCAAGTACCGACAGACTACTTTGAAGATCCTCTGAGGTAAGATATTTGGTTTTTATAATAAATTTATTCTACTCATTCGATTGTTTAAAAATTCAACAGTCATTTAACCGAGTAAGCTGTTCGTGCTTAATACATAAAATAATAAATCATTTGGCAAACTAAGAATTCTTCATGTACAAATGAATTTCAGATACTATGGAGCATATTTGGCTATGTTGATGGTCCTAGATACCGTGTCGTCCCACTGAAGCGGAAAATCAGTCAAAAGTTCCAAATTTTATTCATTGTCATTTGACATCAGTTAATAACTAATAATGCTTTTATTTCAATTGCTTTTATTTTATTTATAATCAAATAACCAAATTTTTAATATTTGTTTAAGATAATTTTTTCACTAAAATAATTAATAGCAAGAGTTATCATTGATAAAAGTAACTCATTTAATGTTGAGAATTAATTAATTCATGATAAATTAGTCTTTAATGCTAAATTAATGCTTGTGATCATCATCAGTCACTTTGTTAACCATAGTATACTAAAATTTAAGTGTAAAGACACAAAAGCCCAATAAACTAAATTTAAACCAGTATTTTTTAATGGGACTGCAGATCAGGTTTCACTACAACTAATTTTCATATTTCACCTTACAGATTTCCAGACTTATGACGCTTCGGTATCTTAACATTAATCGAGGTCAATTATTGGACTAGCTGGGGGTTGCTTTCGTTACTGAGGGAGCAATTAGCACTCGTGTATTTCTACTTGGGATCAATCTCAACAGCATTTATTCGAAACACTGTGTAATATTCATTCAGTAATATATCGATCATTCACCGTACATAATGCTACTGAGCGCACCATTCTACTTATTTCTAACGAATTAGGAATGAAGTGCTCCACTTATATGTAAAGAAAAAAAAAACAACAAAAAATATGTAAAAATATGCACTTTTGTAAGTATATTTGTTCATTAAGCTCTATGCAAGACTGCTATGTTTTTTCGTGCTCTTTGTCGGAATCAAGCCAAGGTTCTGAAGAAAAAAACTGATTATTATACTATAAAAACCGATATCGGTTTTTATCATTTTTAAAAATCAATAATGCAGTGACAATGAGTTGTTTTTTACGACTGTGTATAATTCTGTTTATATATTGTAGCAATAATTGTGTAAAACGAAATCCTGTAGACCAGATGAATTTATATAAGTTTGTATGAAAAATAACGCTTTTTTTAATAATTCGTTAACCAAAGGTTCGATGGTACTTGTTTATTTTAAACTTGGCCAGTTACTTATTCAGAAATTTTTCGCTATTGAGTAAATTTCGTAATCAAGTAAATTGTTCTTTCTCGTTTTGCAACTGAAAGTAATACATCACAATCATAGCAACATAGACATCGTAATCGGTAAAGAGCCACACAAATAGATTTTGTACATGTTGTTGAACTGAAATATGCGTTACATAGGTATGCATAACGTAGTGTGCTTTATATAACAGTATTCTTTTTGTTTAAACTTGTTAGGATACGTGTTTTTGAAATATGTATGTATGTCATAATTGAGTTTTTATTTTTTACCATAAGAGCTTTGAGTTAAGGATATTACTCGATGTACATTTGGCAAGTCAATTACAATTTCGTGAAAAAGCAATTTATAGCTTATTAAATTGATTTAATAATATTTCATTTTTATCTCAAAATCATATCAGAAAAATATTCTTTTTGAAATTTCGTAATATTTTGAAATTTGAAGACGTAAAGTTTACAAAAATGCAATCTTAAAGTGTTTTTCTTTTTTTTAATGGACAATGGGGAGTTTAATAAGAAATCTGTATTATATGCAAAATTTTATTGATTTGATAGTATGAAAGCTTACATTTGTTTTTCTACAAACTTCAGTGTGAAAATTCAACATTTCTTTTGCGAATAATCATCTGATTTCTTGTAGCACTTTGTATAATAATAATAGTTTAATATATTAAATTTGTTCTGTTAATACAAAACTGTTACGACGAATATACATTTAAAATGTTAATGTAATAATGATAATAAGTTTCTTTTTAGAGTCGATAATTGGAATATCAGTTATAGCGTGAAACTCACGAAAATAATAAACGAATAAACACAATATTGTGGGAGCAGATTTAGTTAAACAACTGCTTTTAATAGAATAATATCTGAAAATACTCCTGATTCACAATGTGATTTACGCATAATCGTTATGCAGAAAGCACTTGTTTGCCGCCATCTATGTTACTGTGTAAAAGCTAAAAGTAAAAAAAAAGAAAAAAAACATTATATACATAACATTGTACAACAGAAATATTTACGCTGCCTTTTCGATGACTATTTTATTGCATTAATTACTGCGGAGACTCTGCCTTGTTAGAGCGATAGTTCACTAAACAATTGCTGAATTCGAATGGTCATGTCAAACGAAGCTAGACTTTATTAATTCAACAATCGATCCAAAAGCCAAGTCATTGGAAATATTTTCGAAATTTTTGACTACGTGTAAAGTTACGATATTGTGAATGGAAACATATTTTAAAAATACTAATTGCGATTTAAAAACGAATCAATGCAGTAACTATTGCAATCTTTACTGCTCAGAATCATATCGAATATCGAGGTTTCAATTCTTTTTCTAACTATTAAACTTTAACTTTATAAACAGTACAACCAACACTCAAAACATTTTTCTGTCTATGATAAATGTCATAATCAAAATTATTTTAATACATTTTTTATCGACAATAGCATTCGTCAAAGCGCAGCTAATAAATTGAGCCATTATTTCTCTATACATTGCAAAATATCAAGAACTAAAATTCCCGACTGATCGTATATAATATATACAGCTCAAATAAATGACCAATTGATTTTTTAACGAGGCACCTGAGCTAAGCATTGCTGTTATAAAAATCGTTTTCTGATCAGCTTCACGTGAGAAACTCACACACGAATGTAATAATCTCGAACGAAACATGTAAAAGCGGCGCATAATGCGTTGTTAATCAATAGGTGCAGTGTTTTTCGTCAGTGTTCCACTGATGAACACGTGGCTGCACGATACCACAATCGCGAAAGGAAAATGAAACTGAAAAGAAAATGAAATAGAAGAAACCTGATACGTGGTGCAAGGTGAAAAAACCGTTTTCCTACTTAGAAGAAAAAAGTAAAAAAGAACACGATACCTTAACTAAGTATTTGTAAATTGTCATAACAAGATGAAAATAAAATCGTCATGCGTACGAAAGCTTGTTATTTTATTATTCACGCAACCCTCCACCCAACATTATCAGTGCAATAATAACGATATTTATTTACTTGTACATGGAAACTCGCTATCTTATTATTCATTTGTATCATGTCCATAGATAGAAAGAGTTGAAAACATTAAAGTGTATTTCTCTTAACCGCGCAACAGGGAAGCCGCACACGAATTACCGTGAGAGAGGAAGAAGTTGAAAGAATTACATTAAATTAGCAACAAAAAATTATTGAGTATCGATAAGCGAAAGGAAAAACGTAACGCGTCAGTTAACGAGTACTGATTGTTGCGCGTACGTCGGTGTACTTTTCGAAACGCCTATTCACTTATTTCCAGAGGATATCTGTTCTCCTTCCTATATCTCGACAGATAAGACGTTTTAAAATAAATCTCAAGTTGGGAAAGGGCAGCTGCAGGAGCCGGAGCTCGCGCTGCATAAAGCAATCGCGGCGTTATTTCTCATCCGCTGCCGAAGCGAAATGTCGAGGAGCGCGCGCTCGAGAATTACGATGATCGAATAATATTGCCAACTACGAAACGGCGCGCAACATTGTTACGCGATGACGGTGAGTAAGGAAGTGAATTTCCGCGCGGCACACATTGCGCGCACTGTTGTCTAGCGCGTATTCGTATAATAAACGTCATCGCGAGCGAGCTGATAAACCGGTTGGATCGTTCGCTTTATTTGTTCGTTGGCTCGACGAACTGAAAATAATAATAATAATAGTAATAATAAGAATAATAATAGACTTTTACATATTTCGTCCCAAGCCTGTTAACGCAGTGCTCTTTTTCATTTTACTCCGCACTTTTTGGCTTGATGGAACGGATTGCTATACGAATAAGCGCGGCTTCATCCTCTCTTTTTTTTTTCGTTTTGTTTTCGGGATGTCGATATAATATTTCCAATATCGGATGCCAGCAGATATACGTGTATAATTAACGCTCCGTTTGCGGTATTGGAGGCGGCGATCCGTCAGAAATTCAGGTCAACGCAAACAAAATTATGTAACAATCGATATTTTGCACTTCTCGCGCGATCTTACTCTGATTAAAATAACGTTGCTCCATTGAGAGAGACGGCAGCTGCTCTCTCACTGTCGCAGGCCGCGAATATACAGAGTCTGGCTGATAAGCGGATAAGCGCGCCGATGACCGTTGACCCGGCAAACAATCGAGTCCAAACTCACTCTCGGCTCTCGCGCGCACGCGCGCGCCTTTACATGCTCCCCCGTGGAAACTTGGGAATTTTCCACGCGGAAGGACAGATGCTGCGCTCTATTGCCGGGCAAGCTTCGGTCTTTTAATTACCTGTCCGGCTGTACTTCTTTTTCGATTACATTTGCAGATTACGAAAACTTGAGCTCTCTATCTCTTTCTTTTTCTCTTCTTCTCTCTCTCCCCCTCCCTCTCTTTCTCTCCCTTTTTCGGAGTTTTATCAGCGCGCAAAAGAAAGAAGAAGAGCGTGAATTTATCGGGCAATCCGATGCGTCAACGTGTTTACTTTCTATTGATCTATCGAGTAATGCCGATTCAGTCCAAGATGTTTATTACTAAGCTTTCGCGAAGGAAATGTACGAAGGTCTTGTCAATTATCTAACTCTCGATATTCGGTGTCAGAATGGATAATTTTCAGAACAGTTACATATCTACGCTTAACATTTAACATTCTACTCACGGTTCACCAGCACATTCTTTACAGCAGAGATAATTTTTTTTCTCTATCTTCTTCAGCTTCTTCTTCTTCGCTTTATCGCCATTTTTTTCCGGCCTTCCGTGTAAACGCACTCGCGTACTCGCCCGGCAAAGTAAAAGAGAAAAGAAATCATTGCGTCTAGCTTTGCTAAATACTATTTTTAAATTGGGTAAAAAATCCAAATTGATATATGGTTCATTGGCCGTCTGTGATTTACAGCGGACGGAAATTAATTCGTGTAACAAATATTTACGATAAGCTTTGTATTTTGTACGGCTAGGCAATCTCGCTCAAGGCTTGACGTCTCTCCGAGATCCAATTAATATTGCAAATATCGTGCCAATAGATGAGTAAACAGACTGGACAGATGTCACAATAAAACTAATTATCTCGGATCTCGAAAGTACAGTGCATGGTCATTATTTATGTGTTTTCGCGCTGCACTGCGATTGACAATTTTTCCGAAAAACACGGATTTCTTTTCTTCTATTGCACGTAATCTTTATTTGTTGCACGATACCCTTTTTACCTCGAGTATAAATCATCCAGTTTATTGGCGATAATGAGATCGATGAGCTTATTCGTTCCAATTCGAGCGTTTTCTAATCTTTTTCCAAACCTTCCAGAGCTGACTCATGCACTTTCCTGCGCTTTTCGTGCACTTTTCCACAGATCGCTATTTTCTCAATGCGAAGCGTGCGTTCACTCGACGGGGACAAAAAAAAACGAGAGAATTATTTGCAATATATTACTAATTAATCTTGTATTAGCTTATGAGTTGGACGTATATCTCGGGTTACTTTTCAGCGATTCCTCAGAAATAGCACATTTACACCAAATGAAAAATTTTTTTTTATCGTCACGTATGCATTTTTAACTCTGCAACATCTAGCAGATTCAATTTTATAACCTACGCATAAATCCCAAGGTCTAAGAAATTATCTCGTTCTTACGTATCTTTTTTTATAATTCTTTTTTAACTCTTCGTGTTTCATTTAACGATATCTCAACACGCTACTCGTCGTTGCATGATTCTTGAATGAAATTTAAATATATCAATTTCCCAATCTTCGGTCTTTGACATTCACAAAGGCAATCTCAAAGCAGAACGATCGCATTGAAAATACAGCGCTTCTGGTTGTCAGCGAGGGTGAGAAGGAAGACGAGATTTCCAAAAACCAACAAAGGAAAGGTAAGGAAAGCACCGAACGTAAGTGATACAAAGAAAAGTTCCTTGGACAGATTGTCCGCGCAGGATTACAGCAAGCCAGAGCTTTCTTTCGGCGCGCGTCGAGATTAACGGCAACTATCGCGCATCGAGATTCCGAATCGACGGAGCAACGGCGGTCACCATATGCTCGAGGGAACCGAACGAATTTCGATCGCGTTCGATATTCAGCAGGCAGGATCGCGCGATTTTGGTGGCGCCAGGCGCCCGTGGCATTTAAGTCGAAAATGAAGAAAAGCAAACGAACGGAACGAAATGAACGACAGCGGAGAAACAGAGCTCGCGGACAAAGGAACCTCCGTGCACGCGCAAGGAGACACAACGGAAAATGAAAAAAAAAAAAAAAAAAAAAAAAAAAAAAAAAAAAAAAGAACGAACTACTGCGTAGATGCAGGGGACCTCCCTTTAAAGCGGGACAAAGAGTCTTTGGGAAACCTGGTAAACATCGGGTCGGGGCCCCCCCTTAGCGTTTTCGAACGCTGCACGGGCGAGGGGTAAGTAACAGTCGTCATCCGCGAGCGCGCGAGAGAGGGAGGGAGAGTGAGCGAGGGCACCCGCACACAAAGAAGGCGAGCACGTATCGCGGGGCCTTGGTGGTGGGGAAACGAGAGCATAAAAGCCCGTCCGCCAGAAAAGCCAGCCGCTGTGGTGTTCTCGTACCCCGCGACTGACAGACTATACGGGAAGAGAGCGAGAGAAGAGCGAGCGAGCCGCACTGTTTGTTGTTCGTTTGCGACGGCAATAACGCTCGAGTCGAATCCTGGAAGACTTGTAATCGTCGAAGCATGGCGCATCCACCCCGGCTCGTCACCGCGGGTCTCCTTGCCTGCTGCTACCTCTTTTTGTTCCTGTCTGTGCCCACCGCGTCGGCAAGTGAGTACCTCTCGCTATCGTCTTTCAATTTCTTCTTCTTCTCTCCTCTCTTTGCTTTTTGCCAATAGCTCGCCGATTTGTCCTTCCCCTGCCCTGCCGTCGTCTGCTTTTCGCCTACCCCGTGCTTTACCCGCGCGCTTAATGAGGAAGTACTCGATTCACGCGATGCCCCCGGCGATTCACGAGGACTTCTTCAATTGATGTTGTTTTAAATTCGACTATTATTTGCGCCGCGTGACGACCGCGCGCCCAAGGCACGCACGCCGCGCTCTTCCACGGCCGACTCTTTCGCTGAGCGTCGCCCGTCGAGCCGACGTTGCGGTGACTCCGCGACCAACTTACTTGATTTTCCTTTCGAGTCTACAGCTCATCTTTGCGATACCGTCGTTCGTCAATTATTTCGTTGCCCCGATTTTCTAAACCGTTTATCAGCGGCATTGCTTATCGTTAATTTTCTTTCGAAAGCAATAACGAGCGACGAAAGTCGCGCTTCGACACGCAGCTCGACGAAAGCAGAGAAGCTTCCCTTTGTTTTGATCACCACTGAAAAGCAAGTCTATCCGTTTAATTGAGGTACCGGGCTATTGACCTGCGCGGCTAAAGGGGCCGTTACGAGTGCGTTGAGAAAAAAAGAAAAGGAGGGAGAACGAAAGCCGCGGACGGGGGCGGAGGAAAATTCAATCTCCCTGAACTTTAAAAACTGCCGGCTAATTCGCGCGCGCGAAATTGCCGGGGAAAGGCCAAAATTTACGACTGGGCCATTATCAAGGCAAATTTGAAGTTGCCAGCGCCGCGCCGCGCCGCTACCGAGACTGTTGATTAAAGTACATTCGACCTCGTCGCGCTCGCGTTTCTTGTTACGGGCGCGGCGGGGGAGGGGGGGGGGGGGCGCCTGCCGAAACGGCCGATATCGCCCGATGAAAAAATTTCTCTCGCGCGATAAGTGAAAAGCGGGCGGCGAGAGCGGCTTCGGGAACGCGACGCGGACGGGCGACGAGAGCGAGCGAGCGACCGAGCGTACGAACCCCTCCCTCCCCCGCGCGTTAATGAAATGATTGACCGGACATGCGGCAGATTGACACGGCGTACCCCGAATGGCTCAAATCAATTCGACGCTGCGCGCATGTACGGGGACGATCAAAACGATACGTGTACCTGCATGTCTCTCGTTTATCGAATTTACGCTCGTTTATGTGTACCCAGTTAATCCGTTCCCTGTCCTCGTTCCCCTCGCGCTCGCATTTCAACTCGCCTCCTCCCCTGTCTTCGGCACTTAATTAGTCGTTCTGTAGCCGTGTACTTTTTCCACGCTCTTCTTTATTATTCGCGTCAATTGTAACGCGCATGTACGATGCCTCTGTCTCCCTCGCTTCATTGTTATCGATACATTTTGTTTGTTCGCCAAAGGATTAATCGACTTGCTTATACATAAAGTGCAAAGTTCGTTCTACGAGTTTGTGTGTGTGTGTGCGTGTGTGTGTGTGTGTGCGCGTGGCAGATAGCATTTCGCGGAATGATTTCGGGATGTAAGATGTACATTGCACAAAATTATTAGATAAGAAACGTTGCACTTAACAATTCTGAACATGCTCAATTCAAACTTTTATAAAAATTCCATTACCACGTTTACGGCAACAATTTTCGTTGAGTCTCGACTGCTATTTGATTTTACGGGGGAAACGTAAAAAATTCTTTTTACGAGTTGAATTCTTGGAAATCGACACACCGTGGGTCTGCTCTTGATGAAACAAAAAAAAATAATCTCAAAGTAGAGATAATCCGGCTACTCGTTTTTGTATTACGAACTTTCGCGAGATAACGGAGCGGAAAGTTTGTCGAGCCACTAAAGTAACATTAGTATTACGCGCACTCGGAATAAAATTTAATTAGCTCTCGCGTTCAAGTGCGTAGGTCATGATCTTTTTTCTTCTCCTTCTCTCGCGCAAATGGAAATTCTTTTTGTTTTTATTACAATGCGCAAGAATGAGCCGGGTCTCCGTGTGGCCGCGTGTAACAATGAATTATTGTATATCCCGCGTAAAAATTTTCATGTCTCGTAAAAGGATTGCCGCGTAAAATGTTGCTTTACCACGCAGCACTTACTCGTACGTGCAATAAAAAAAACCCGTATACAGCGTAATCCGAGGCAAATTTAATCTGCAAGCACGCCGATCGGCGATTGAAGCGAAAAAACAATTCGTGTAGGTATACGAAGCTTAGAAAGGGCAATGAAGCAACGCGTTGATAAGGCTGTTATATCGCATAGAAATTGATTACGAGAGACATTTCGTCGGGTCGTGAACTTTTCTAAAATAAAAACTTCGTGTAGGAGGCTGATGAGGGAGTTTGCCTTGTTGGTGAGCAGTGTCGCTATACCGATATCTTAAGTCTACTTGGACATGTCAATAGAGCAGTGAATCTTTCTTTCTATCATCGATTATCACTGCTGATTCACAAGACATACTTTACGCGTTTTCCGATTTTACAGAAACACCATCAAGAGTTTTTTCTAAAGCTCTGTCTTTGGTTTTTTTAAGATTATTCTTTCTTTAAGATTAGTCTTTTATTACATTAAAAATGTACAAACATCAAGTCGTTCCACATTCGGCACAAACCTTAAAGCTCACAAATATCCAGATATTTCGCAAAATCAATCAGTCGACATTCAATCGTCTTTGGCAGTTTCGATAATATTGGCGTATTTTTTCTTTAAATTTCTCTCCCGACAGTTTATTTATGCGCAATCATCGGCACCGATAAGCACACGAATAATAGTAAACATGTAAATGACGATACGTACGAGTATTTTATTCAGCGTTAATCTTAATTTATTTGAGCGTGATTTTTTTTAAACTCCCCGTTTCACGCATGAACGCAGCATCACCGCGATTGCGGGTTACACGGAGGCTCTTTTATCACTTTTATCGGCCACGACCCAACCACGAACTTCTTTTGCTTATCAATGCATAAATATAATTTTTCTCGTCTTCTTTCGCTCAAATAATCACACTCGAGCTCATCCAAGATTAATTGCCAATATTTTTTTTTTCACGTTGAACGTCTTGTCGCTCTTTCTTAATTTTCTTTGAATCCATGCAGAATTGGGGGTACGCATCTGAAATTTCTTATAGCTTGTCTTGCCTCCATACTGTAATATTCTTTAATAATATTATTGTCATGTAAAAAAAATACACTTTTTAAATGTTTCTTTTATTGCAATTTTCAGACAAATGCACAGTCGGTTGCCATGGAAGTAAGTATCATTTTGTAGCGTACACTTTTTAAACAGTAAGAGTTCGCGAGTATTTACTCAAATATCGAATAAAAAATTCTAGTGCACTCTGATGCGTCGTACAAAGAAGGCCAGACGTACACGTACGCGTTAGAAGGTACGTCAGTAACATCAGTTAGCGAGGGTCAAGGAGAGGCTACGCTAAAGCTCAAAGCCGATGTTGAATTGTCCGTAAAGCCCGACTGCATCAGGCAGATCAGGCTAAAGAATGTCCAAGTAAACGGAGCCGTAAGTATAGAATCTTAATTGTTTGTGTGTTAAATTTCGAAAAACTCTTTTGAGAAGATTTGCTAAATAAATACACGCGCATGTTCGCGAATGATGATATACAGAACGTGGCTCAGCAAGACCTTGAGAAGCACGCACTCCAGTTCAACTACCACCATGGGCACATAGACACGGAGTTGTGCGCCGAACCGGCGGACTCTCAAGCCTCAATTAACATCAAAAGGGCCGTAATCTCTCTGTTCCAGTCCTCGGTTGCACAAGAGGAAGGCTCCACGAGCAGACATGAGGCATGTATTTAGTCTCTCTCTCTCTCTCTCTCTCCTACTCTCTTTTCCTCTTCAGCCAATTCACGGCGCATTATTAAAGTCCGTCATAGATATATAATTTAAAACGTTTTCGTTCTGTCCTTTCAGATTGACGTCCTCGGTGGCTGTGTCACCGATTTCAACTTCGCCAAAGAAGGCGACCACCAGCTCGTAACAAAGTACCGTGACCTTAACCACTGTTCGAATAGAGAAAATATCAAGCAAGGTCTATTCTCTGGAATCACCAACCAAAACGCAGGACTTCAATCTCTGCCAATCATCAATGCCCACCAGAAGGTCGAGCAACGTTTCAAGAACGGAGTCCTCGACAAGGCTGTGTCCACCGAAACTTACAAACTCCGGCCGTTTAGCAATGGAGAAGCCGGCGCCAAGACTGTCGTCGAGACTGTGCTCACCTTCAAGGGCCAAAAAGGCGATAGCCCCACTGCTCCAGTATCAGTACCAAAGTCCCTTATCTTTGAAGCTCCCCATGTCGTCGTCAAATCCTCGGTCGAAAGTATCGAGAAGGCTCTTCAGGCCATACACAAGGATGATCATGAGGCTGTCAAGTCCGATGAAGCCAAAAAATTCTCTGAGCTCATCAGAGTTCTCCGTACAAGCAGTAAGAAAGACATTCTCACCGTTTACCACAGAATCAAGGCTGGTGCCGGTTTCGACAAGGAGCGCGACAAGAAGGCACTCCTCGATGCACTTTACCGCACCGGAACTGGTGAAGCTGCCGAGGTCGTCGTTGAACTCATCAAAAACAAGGAGATCACTTCCTTGCAGTCGCTGATGTATTATGCCAGTCTTGCTTTTATTCAGCATGTCAATCTTCCATCTGTCACTGCCATCTCTACTCTTTTGGATCAACCCAATCTCTCGCGCATTGGATACCTCGGAATCGGTCAAATTATTGGTAGATTTTGCAGCCAACACGCGTGCGAAAATGTTCCCGAGATCAAGAGTGCAATTGAAAAAATTTCTGCGAAGGTCAAGGATGGCAAAGCTAACAACCGTCAAGATGAAGATATCATCATTGCCGCTCTCAAGGGTCTTGGTAATGCCAAATATATGGACGAAAGTACTCAAACCAAACTGGCCAATATTGCTACCGATAAAATGGTACGTAACCGCATTCGTGTTGCTGCCATCGAAGCCCTGCCAACCAAGTGCGCCATGAAATGGAAGAGTACCCTCGCTAAGAGCTTTACTGATCAGGAGGAAGACAGCGAAATCAGGATCAAGATTTACCTGTCTTACATCGCTTGCCCGTGCAATAAGGTCGTTGGTATCGTCAAAGACACTCTCGATAAAGAAAGGATATACCAGGTTGGTTCCTTCATTCAGAGTCACTTAAGGAATCTTCGCGCTACTGCTGATCCTTATAAACAGAACGCCAAAGCTTACTTTGGTCAGATAAGACCACGCACCAAGTTCCCCGAAGACTTTCGCAAGTTTTCTGCCAATGATGAAATTTCATACGACATTAATGCGTTCGGTTTCGCTTCCACTGCTGAAAGCAACGTAATTTTTAGTCAAAACAGTTTCGTACCACGCTCAGCTAGTGTCAATCTTACCACCGAAATTTTTGGTCACTCATTCAACTTCTTCGAGTTAAATGCACGCGCTGAAAATCTTGACCGTATGATTGAACACTTCTTTGGACCCAAGGGTGTCATTCCCAGTCAAAAACCGGCTAACGTCGTGCGCGACGGTATCGTCGAGCTCACCGGTCTTTCGAAGTATATTAAAGAGCGCCTTGAGAAAAGCGCGCGCGGAAAACGTGAAGTCAAACAAGCCGATCTCGACAAATTCGCAAAGGGTGTTCAACTTCGCACTAAGGAAGTTGATGAAGATTTAGATCTTGACTTGTCTATCAAGCTCTTCGGCGTTGAACTTGCCTTCTTGAGTTTCGGTGGATCGGATCAGAAATACACTGCCCAACAGATTGTCGATAAGATCTTTGATCACTTTGATCAAAGCGTCAACAAACTCAAGAACCTCAACTACGACATTGAAAATCACGTTCATTTTCTCGATGCTGAATTTGTTTACCCGACTGGTTTGGGTATAGCTCTCAACCTTGGAATTGCTGGTTCTAGCGTCATCCGTTCCAAAACTCACAGCAAAATCGACATTCCATCAATCCTTCAAGATCCCAAGAATGCAGCTATCAAGATTGCTGTTGAGCCAAGCGCTTCCATCGAATTCGTTGGAGACCTGAAAGTCACAGACGGTTTCGGTACTGAATCTGGTATGAGAGTCGTTACCACTCTTCACACTGCTACTGGCTTTGATCTCAATGTCAAAGTCCTCGATGGTAATGGTGTCGACATCACCTTGGGCGTGCCAAAGAGAAAGCAAGAGATAATAAGGGTGTCCAGTGATGTTCTCTATAACAACGGTAAGGTAGACAAATATATGCCCGTCAAGTTCAGTAAAGGCGTTGAGCGCGAGGCCTGTTTTGAGCAGTTCAATGCTCCTTTGGGACTTACCATTTGTGGTCACCTTTCTTATCCGTACGAAAACTTTGCTATTATGCAAAAGAAACCGTTCTATCCTCTGAATGGGCCTGCCAAGTTTTATGTCACTATTGAGAACAACGATGTCTCAAGCTACCATCTTAAAGCGTTCGCCAAGAAAGGCTACGAGAACCACGACTATGCATTTGAATTCCTTGTGGAAACACCCAATAGCCGAACCAACCGATATATTAAACTTGCCGGACAAGCTACTCTCGCACCTCTGCCAAGAGCCAAAATTGAATTTGACTCACCCATTAAAAAGGCTTCGGCTGAGGCCGTTATCAATGCAGATGCTAAGGAACACAGTTTCTCTGTTACTGTAAAGAATGATAACACTGCATATTTCACTCGCATTGGAGTAGAAAGTGTGGGCGGTAACAAGTACAAGCCTGTTCTTGAGTACAAGGTTCCCGAACAGCTTCAAAAACTTGCAGGCAAAGCGGGAGACCAGAGTACCGAAGTAAAGGGGACTGTAGAAGTTGCAGATCACGACGGCGGTAAAAAGTATGTTTTCAATGATGTACAACTGCTAGCCAACGGCCATAAAATTTTGGGTCTTGATGGTAATGCTGCTTCTACACCCAAAGCACTCGATGTTGACTTGAATCTCAGCTATGCTGATGACAAGGTTGGAATCAAGGTTGATGGAAAGAAACTCGCCCCGAAACATTACACTTTAACTGCCTCCATTATACCGTCCAAGAGTCCATCTGCTTCATTGGGGGTTGACTGGGAGCTCAACATTCAGAAATCGACAATTGACCACAAGCTTTCCTTAACTCAGGGTGCTGATCTCAAGTCTGAGACTGACCGTCTCAAACTTGACCAGCATGCCGAATTTGATAGTAATGTAGAGAAATTTATCTTGTCTGCCAAGAACAAACTCACTTACCCACGAGTAGGTTTAGTGGCTGAGCTCAACGGTGAAGTTACTAAAAAGACTCTTAAATATGATGCCGAACTTAAGTACGGTAAATTTAAGTTTGGCTCTGAACTGGATGCTAAAATCAATCAAAACAAACCAGGTGATTATGCCATCGATTTCGAAGCTGAGGTTTTGGAAAACAAGCTTGAGTTTGACGCTAAGAAGACTGTTCTGGATGAATTCAAGAGTAAATATGAAAACTCGCTGAAAATGACTCCCGGCGGTACTTACAAAGCTGATGCTGATATTAAATGGCAAGTAAAGAAAAACGATATCGACGTTAGAGTCGATGCTGATTTGGGTTTCAACAACAAAAAGCTGAAGTTAGACTCTGGATTAATAGCCAAACCAGATAACATTGACAACCATGTACAATTGCTCGCTAATGGAGTTAAGTACCTAGACTATAATTTGAAGATTAACCGCGGTTCTAGCCATAACGGTAATCTCCTTTTCAACTTGAAGAGTTATTTATTGGCTAACGGCCAGTTCTCCTACCAGAACGGTAAAGGTAACGGTAACCTCAATATTGACATTCCTAAAATTAGTAGAAAAATCAAGGGAACTGGTGACATTACCATTAGTGGTAGCACACACGCCGGTAACTTTGAACTTGCTTACGATGCTGAAAAAGATCCCAACAAGAAGATTAAGATCAGTACTGTTACTGATTTCACCAAATCATCTATCGAATCGAAGAATATCATTGAAATTCTAACCTATAAGACCGAAGTCGATTTCAAGGGCAAGCATGCTGGTAGCCTGATGAATGGGCATCAAGAACTTGAAGCTAGCGTTACTTTACCAAATGGACGCTACGTTTCTTTAAAAGGAGATCGTACTGTTGCCAAAAAAGACGAAAATATCGACGTCAACGCGCACTTTGAACTTGCCGATCACAAAACCAAGGGTAACGAAATCAAAAAAATTATTGGTAACGCCAAGGGAACTGTATTCAACTTGAAGAACTATCTTTTTGATCTTTCCTACGACCTCAAATACGTTCACTCTGATGGCAAACATTTATCTGGCAAAATCGTTCTTAAACATACCGCTCAGCCAAATTCTGACAAAAAGTCAGCTACCGTTGACATTACGGGATCTGGAAGCTTGATTTCCACTTCGCATAATGCCCATGTTACTGTTGTTTATGATCCAGAAAATATTTCATTCAAAGGTTTGGCTTCTAGAGGCAATGACTTGTCTATAAAGGTAAGTTTTTTTTATGTAATGAATTATATGCAAATCTGTGCTACTATTCTTAACATTTATGGAGAATCATCAAATTATAGAGCAACATTGACATTGTTCACGGAAACCATGTTGACAAACCACACACCATCAAAGGTATAGTCGAAGCTAAATTACCCAGCGAAAAATTGAAAAATATCAAATTTGAAATAGATGAAACAATTCTTGATAAAAAAGACGATGACGGTGTTTTTGAATATTCTAAATCCAAGACTCTCACTTATAACGATGACAAAACGATTAAGCTTAACGTCAGATACAAACACTCCGGGAATATGAACTTCGATGACTTGGGCAGATTTAAGCGTTCATATACTGCTAATCTTAAGATATTGGACAAACCTGCGCTCACCATAACCGAGGAATATGATCACGATTTAACCGGAGATACAAAGAAAGCTCATGAGAAGGGTAGTATCAAATTTGGAGATAAGGAAGTAACTGGTGATGTTCAAGCTCAATGGAGCCCTGAATTCAACAAGATTGGTATCAACGGTAAATTCACAACACCGATCGAGAAATTGAAGAACATTGACTTGCAGCTTAACCATAAGGTGACTATCACAAAAATGACATGCTTATGTACTATAAGAAAACAATTAAATTTAATGCATACAATTTTTATAGCACGATGACAAATCAAGAAAAACTGACGTCACTGCTACAGTCGACGGCGTTAAATATACTCAATCTACAGAAATTATCTTGGAAGGAACCCCTGGCATTCACCTCATTTTCACTTGTCCAGCTGGAACAACTGAACTGTTTGCCAAGTTCAAGACTCTTGGAGAGAACGAATACTCTGGTGAATACAAATTAAGCACACCAAAAGGATTCGTTGCCGTTGACGGACACGTCAAACTCGATAGCGTCGACGACTTTGTTCTAAGCGTCAACTTTGATAGTGACAAGTTCAAGTACCGCAAGATGCACGTTGAAGTTGCTAATATGCCAAACTCTCAAGATGGTAGAAGAATTTTTGTTACGGTTACCAGTGAAGGCAAGAACCTTGTTACTGGCAGTACTAACTACAAAAGGCACGAGGAAGAAAAGAAGGTTACCCTCGAGGGTAACGGAAGCCTGCAAATCGGCGAAAATACCAGGAGCTCTTCCTTCAAATACGTTCGTAAACAACTGACCAAGGAAACCGATAAGGAAGTCGGAGTTGCCATTATGCTCAATGCTAGTTTTGGACCATCAGCTATTGTTGGTGAACTGAAACTGTCCGACAAGGAGGTGCACGTATTCAACAGCTACTGCGAACAGAGCAAGGACTGCGCTAACTTTAAACTGCACTCAACTCTTGACACTGACCGTAAGACTTTCTTCTTAGCTGAACAATAATATCAACTTTGAATAAAATTTAATCAAAATGAAATTGATTTCAGACGTATCTCATTTCAATAACAACTTGCAAGTGGAAGTCAATCTTAAGAAATTCAACGTGCCTGTTGAATTTGGCATTCAAGCCAGCACTAAATACAGCGACTTTTCATTTGACCACCAAGCTAATCTTTATCTACACTCTTCCAAGGATCGTACTCAGTACACTTATCACGTATATAGCAACAAGCGCGAATCTGGTATGTTTGATTATTCACAAAGACCATTTGAGTAATGAACGATTTATAAATAGATTGAAAATATAATATTTATAGCTGCTGTCTTGTCACTCCCAAGCCGTGAGTTAGCTATTGTTGCTTTCCATGACTTGCCTGCCAATAAACACTCTGGAGCTTACAAGATCGATATTTCTCTATACCTGGACAGAAAGAATAAGCCTACCGAAAAGACCAGTCTTATTTTCGCAGGAAACGTAAATATCGACAAAAACACTGTCGGCATTAAGGGAGAAGCTAAGTTTGTCTACCCAACTCAGCCAAAGGATATGATCGTCAAGGGAGACCTCAGTGTCAAACCTGGCCAAGAGCAACTGTTTGATGCCAACTTCGACATTGACTTGTTTGCCAACAAGAATGATAAGATCACCGCCACTGCAAAGGTTACTCGTCACGAAGTACCGAAAGGACAAAACGTTACCGCTATTTTTGGCTTGTTCAGCAAGGGTCAGAAATTAGACGTCAAGTCGGACAACCACTTTGCTGTATCTACCAATTCTCTTGATTATGGATCATCTTTCTCTTATACAGATAAGAATCAGAAACCAAAATCTATGGGTGCTTTCTTGCTAGTCAACCCACAACAACTCGATATCGACATCTATTTGCCTAATATACAACTTCTAAAGTCTCACGCTGATATTCATGTTAGCAAAGACCTCCTGAAATATGAAGCTACTAGCCACTTCCTTGGTCATGTTCCAACTTTGTTGGTAATTGAAGTCAAGGATTACAATAGCTTCAAGCTTGACTTTGGTCGCAAAGGAGACAACGACAAGTTTGCCGCTCACGGTAAATTTGTTTTTGGTCAACTTGCTGAACTTCAAGCTGATGATTTCAGAAATGGCAAAAAGAATGAGCTGTTACACGTCTTAATCCACCTTGACGAGAACAAATTCATGAAACCCGACTTTGGATACAATGCAAAGAATATTAAGGAACTCGTTGACCATGTTCGTCACGAGATACGCGAACGTGCTGCTGAGCTCGGTCAGATTGGCAAAACTGTAGGTAATGAAGTCGCTGTTGAATTTGGCGACTTATTTGACCACTTGAAAAAGGCTCAACCAAGTTTGAAGTCGTTAGTTACTTACTATCATGATGAATTAGAAAAACTCAAAAGTGAACTACAGGCTGACGCAACCGTCAAGGAAATCCAAGATATCTTTAATAAGACCTTTGGCGGTATAATCGCTGCCATCACTCAAACTCTTGAACAGTTTGCCGGGCGATTCGAGGATCTCAATAACCAATACAATGAGATCATTCATAAATTGGAGGATGTTGCTAAGACCATTTATCCAAGCCTCGTGCAATCTTTTGAATCAATCGCGAAGGCTGTTATAAGTATTGTGGAAAGTTACGCCAAGTTGGTGACTGTCTTTGCAGAAGCTGCTTTGAAGATCATCAATGAACATCAAAAGGACATTGAGGAGTTGATCGGCGTTGTTTCCGACTTCGCTCAGGACATCGCCAAAATCATTTTCAAGGGTATCAGCCAGATTGAGAAGGAAGTTAAAGAATTCGTGCAACTATTGATACAACAGATCCGAGCTCTACCAGTCTATGAAATGGCCAAAAACCTCTATAGAGAGGCTCTGAACTACAAGCTGCCACCGTACATCATTCAACCAGTCGAAGAGTTCCTTAGTAACGTCAAGAACATTTTGCCTACGCAGGAGCTCAAGGACTTCTTTACTACTCTCTACAGCTACATTCTCAAGCACGTCAAACACGAAAAGGTAATCTATCTTGTAGATAGCAGTAAAAAAGTGAGGTGGGTTTCTAACAATATTTTGTTTGATAGATCGACGACGCAAATGAAGTAAAGAAGATCTACACGCAAGCCCTCAATGCTCTTCGTTCTGTTATCGCATTATTACAGCACCACATTACTGTTGAAAATATGTTCGGTTTCATCGAAGCTCAAATTCCTGTCGACGCGAGCTACCTAAGAAGAATTCCGGGCCTTAGAACTATCCGCTTCTCGATTGTCAAGCTGCTGGTCAACCGTGAACTTCCAACTCTCGCGGAACTTTACTATACCTACAGACCACACCATTATGCTGCAGACACCATTCCTCCAGCCAAAAAAGACGCTTACTTCACCGACGGTGGTTACGTTATCACCTTCGACAGCACTCAATACATCTTCGGAGGTAGTTGCAACTACATTCTCGCTCAGGACGTTGTCGATGGAAACTTTACCGTTGTCGGTGAGTACGCTAATGGCAATCTCGTTAGTGTTACCGTCACCGAGCCTGGCGAGAGCATTACGATCAAGAACAGTGGACACGTAAGTTTTTAAAATGATTCATTATCAATTGGTTTATAATAAATTTATTTATTCATTTTTGTTTTTGTTTAATCAGATTTTGGTCAACAATAAACCAGCCGACTATCCAGCCACGACAAAGAATCTCGATGCCCACATAACTGTACCAATCAGACGTATCAATTCCAAGTATGGTGCCAAGCTCGTTTGTACCACTGGCAGTTCCATGGCCTGCTACCTACGTGTATCCGGATTCTACCACGCTAAGCTTCGTGGTCTGCTTGGAGATGCGAACAATGAACCAGCTGACGACTTTATCCAACCTAATGGAAAGGTTGCCGCCGGTACCGCTGACTTTGTTAACGCTTACAAACTCAACCCATCTTGTGGTGCTGCCACGGTCAAATCTGGCGAGGCTCCACGATCGCCCGTCTGTACCAAGTACTTTACTGGAAAATCATCCCTAAAGTAAGAAAATTAACACTTAAATTGGTGATTTTTTTTATAATTATAAAATTTTAACTTGTAGTATAAAAACGACATTTATTGCTATTCTTTTAGCTCGTGCTTTAACTATGTCGACCCCAAATCGTATCGTGCCGCTTGTGATCAGCTCGTCGCCGATGGTGTCAAGTTCGGAGCTTGCGCAGTTGCCCAAACGTACGTGACAAACTGCTTCATGCAAAACATCTTTATCAATCTGCCCAACGATTGCGTCCAATGCAAAGTTGGCGATGACAACGTCAATGGCGGAGACAGCTTCAGCGTGAAGACACCAAAGAAGCAAGCCGACATTATTTTTGTCGTGGAACAAGAAGCTGACAATGAGAAGGCTTTCAAGACCCTTGTCAAGCCAATGATCAACGAATTGAGGACGGAATTGAAACAGCAAGGAATAACGTAAGTTGAATGGTTAATGTAAAGCATCAATTAATCACGAATGTGTCATTTACATTGAATCGGTTATTAGCGATGTCTTCATCGGTCTCGTCGGTTTCGGCGAAGGCATGGACTACGCCATGCATTACACGTCAAACAATAACATAAACATCGAGGGTGGCGACGTCAACAATATGAAATTCACAAATGCTCGTGAACCCGTGATCACACTGCAAGAAGCCAAGGAAGACAAACAAGGACACAAGAAAGTTGAGTTCCTCAGACAAAGGCTCGCCGTTGAACTTGGTACCTCCAAGATCGCCAATGCCTTTGAAGATGCCATAAGGTATCCATTCAGAGCCGCTGCTTCTAAGGCTGTTATCGGTCTCATTAGCTCGAATTGCGAAAAGAGTGCGTTCTCGCCGATCTCCGTAAGTATATTTTTCACATTAATCCCTTTATATGGCGGAAACACATCATCGGTAGCAATGTTTGGGAAAAAATGTTTCTTGCAGTTCCAAGACTACAAGATGCTTCTTGGCCGTGACATTACCTCGAAAATGGGTCTGACGTACTACCACGTTTCGCCACTAGCCGACCTCGAGGTCTCCGGCAAGCCTGCAAAGACTGTCGTTGGTTATGACGCCGATCAGGTTTACACGTTCGCCGATAACAAGGAGAAACCCCTTAAAGGCAGCTCCGAAATGAAGAGTAACCTGCATCTTGGCCACGGCGACGTTTGCGCTAAATTTGCTGTTAGCGTGAGTATCCTTCATATTTCGCTTACCTGATCAACGTCATCAAGTAAAATTATGAACATTTTAAAATACGATCAATACAGTAATGAGTATAAATTTAGTGCCAATGTTTTCATAAGTGACATTTCAATTATTTAGATGTTTAAAACATTGATTAAAATTTCATATAAACGTTTTCGTTACTGCCGCACACCGCTGCAGATTCCACATCGCCCGCAGCCAAAATTGCCATTAACACGTCATACAGTATTTAATACTCATTCGAGTATTATCTATTTATATGACCGATGGATAATTGAATATTTAGCTTTTCAAGCGCATTGATTCTTCAAACAAATAATTAAAAAAATTATACTTTCGAGCAGACACAATATTCCTAATCCATAACGTTGAATAGAGAGAAAGAGGAATAAAATATCGTATCAATACATAAGAAATCGTGCTGACTCACGTAATAACCCATAAATTATACTCGCAACGACCGTCGCTGTCATAATAAGCCGAATGAAAATAACATTGAAAACCGAAATGCTTTTGCAGACCGGCGGCGCGGCATTCAGCTCGCACAACTTCCTGGAAGCCAAGCCCACTCAGCAGTCCCAATTCATCAAAGTAGCAGCCAGGAAAATCGCCGAAGATTTGACGCAAGTCGAGCTCGAGCAGGACTGCGTTTGCGCCGCCGATACTAGCTACGGTTATACCGCCCAGGTGGTGAGCCGGCCACATTGCAAAGTCACCGCACGCAACGACAAGAGGCACAAGGCCTAAGCTAACACAGCGATATACGACTGACAAAATACGAATTCTCGCTCTCTCATACACGCATTCTCATACTTTGTATTGTTTGTTTTTTTTTTATTGCTACTATTACTACTTTTTTTTTAAACTATTATTATTATTATAATTATTATTATTATTATTATGTCGCGACGGTCGCCTCTCCAAATGTATTGTGTCCCGCGCGTAATGTGTATATATACGACCAGCTTGATGAATATATATTAGAAGAGAGAGATTAAAGCGAGGACTGTCGCGGGTGATTCGGCAAATTTTCTTTTTTCCTGTTTCGACTGAACCTTATTTTTATATATTACAATGAAGCGATAATCCTTGCAACTCAACGCACACAAATGTTTGTTTTTTTTACTGCTATTACCTTGTTCGCCGAGCACTGATTGATACGCGACGACGACACTGTGAACTCTGTGAATAATAAATATTAATAAACAAAATATATATTAAGCTAGTTGTGTTTTGTTTGTCCCGCCTTCGTTTAACCTCCTGAAATTGCTCAGCCGAGTCGAGAAAGAGTGCCAGAGAAAATGTACCCACATCCGGAGCTCAACAGCTACCTGCAAGGTTTCGGCGTTAATTTCCCGAAGAAAGTTCTCAATAGAGCTATCGACAGAGGTGAAGGCAGAACATGTTGGCGGAAAGGGTTTCTCTCTCTCTCTCTCTCTCTCTTTTTATCTCTCTAATGACCTATTTAGCTATGCATGAGAAAGGCGCAGCTTGCGGCGAATCCAAATCGCAGATAATACGCCAACGACGTCTCGTCACTAACCAGCCGCGATTCTACGCACCTCACGTCGACGTCACTCGTGCCAACTGCGCTTACCGACAGCTCGCGCTTCCTAAACTGGTACGTCTTGGTTTCCCTTCCCAGCCAAAGTTTGACCCCCTCGGCGACGATAATGGCACTTGCGAAATGATGAATTGACGATAAATAAAGATGAAAGATTTGAGCAGCGAGGACCGGCTGACAGTGAGGCAAGCAGTGACGACTCTGGCGGATCTCGTAGTAGACCCGGAAACCTTGATAAGAGCTCTAGAAGTCGATATTCTAGAGAGGTGAGAGCGAGCTCTATTGATTTTTCCTCGGTTCACATTTTCTGTACCCTCGCTTGTGTTTCGACTTCATTACGAATATACCGCGCGCGTCGTGACTCTCGATAAATTTATCGCGATTCGCTTTGTCGCCTCGAGCGATGTCGAGTTAATCTGCACTTTTTCCCAGTGGCTTCACTCTGTGAGAAATACGCGAGAAGTAAGTTCGACTGACGGATTTCGAGCGAAATTATAATTTAAAATTGGCGCTGCGAAGGAAGCGCGTTGTTCCTCTCTGCTTCGACAATGAAACCACTGTTCGGGGAGGCGTGAACAACATACTAGTTGTGAAAAAGGCGAAACTGTCGGGGATATTACATTGCAGATTAGCCGATGTGTTGAGCTCGAGCGACCCGTACTTACGCGAGCATGGATTGCTGATTTGCGCGACGATGGCGAATCAGGCGGCCGGAAGGGATGCAATCCGGCAAAACCTGCAGCTCATGGCTAATCTCGCCAAGTGCGTGGGCGATCGTTTAGCCGCCGTGCGCTTACAGGCCGCCGTCACGCTGGAGAATCTGTCCTACGATTACACCGGTGATTGTCCACCCCATGGTATCGTTCGCGCGAGAGTTGCGTTTTTACGCACGACGAGTGCACAACAGTTGCAGATCAGCTGGTCGCGTACGGATTTGTCAAATTATTAACCGAGAGACTCGCGGAAGAGAAGCGCGACGTGCTGGTGAGTGGTAACGGCTTCGTTGCCTCGTTTCGAGATACCTCGTTCATGACAAAACGGCGAGCAGGTCCGCCATCTGAGCACGATGAGGTTGCTACTGCTGCGGAGCACTTGTAAGAGCGAGGCGATCGAAGTCGGAACTTTTGACAGGCTGACGGATCTGCTGCACCGTCGCAGAGACCGGCAAGTTTTGCTCGACACCCTGTCTTGTCTGACGGTCCTCTGCGAAGATCGCCAGGCCAAGATCAAGGCGCTTTGCTTGCACGACAGACTCAAGTGTCTGCTGAACGACGAGGTAAGGCCTACCGCTTCTTAATCTGATTCGCAATCGCCTGCCCTGCCCAATGGACCACCGCGTTCGCGCGATTCGACAAATACATCGGCGGAAACAAAAGCCGCGCGAGAGTCGCTCTTCCGCGTCGGAAAATGCGCACAATGGAATTGCGTGACCTGCGTGGCGCGGTAGACAGCTCGAGACGTAGGCGCCGGCACTTGTGCAGCCGAACTGGCGATCAGCGAGAGGAGCGCTTTTGCGCCTCGTTTACTCGGCGAATACATCGCTATCGTCCGTGACGTGCAGGACGAGTGCATAAACGCGGGAGCGGCTCGGCTGGCCTCGTTCATCAGCATAACGACGCCGGGCAAGCAGCGTCTACTAGACCTTATGCCCGTGCTCCTCCGCATGCTGTCCCGTCCGAAGATCTCGCGAGGACTCCTCCTGCCTGTCATCAAGGCACGTCATTACCGCGAGCCCGAGTTAGTTTGCGCGAATGGCGTCGCGTCTCTGACGCTCGTTTGTTACAGACGCTGACGAATCTCAGCGAAGTACCGCAGGGTCGCCGAACGATGCGCGCCTGCGACGCGACGGTCGCGAACATCGACGTCGCCGAGGATGACGATGTGCTCAACCAGCACAAACGCAGATTGCTGGATGTGATTCGCTGGGAGCCCTGAATAAAGATCGTCGATCCGCGCTGCTGCTCGACTTTAACCACCCCGCACCAGCCGCCTTTGTCATTGCAATTGCGAGCGAGCGAGCGTCAGATAAGCGGTTCCGATTAGTTATTAACTTCGGAACACGTCTACGAAATTCATGATAATTTGCGTCCAAGGCCGAGCAATCATCGAGCGCATTTATCTGCCGCGAACATACGCATACGAGAAGGTCGAACGATGAAGGCGACCGAGGCAAAAACCCACGGAGGGAATCGTTCGTATCTCCCTCGGCCTGTTTCTCGATCGACGCCTTTTCTTCTCCGAGATTTACTTTCGCTGCCTCGATGACTGTTGGACGTGCGCGTCCGTTCGTCTCCTCTTGTTAGTCGGTCATCGCGATGAATCCGAGGCGACAACGAGGGAGCACTTTGTCTTTGCGCCACCAGTGCTTGCTCGAATTCGAAAAGTTGCCTTTACTTTGGCCGGGCGAAGTCACATAGCTTTCCCGAGCGCGGAAACGCGTGGACGAGCTTCGGAGGTGTACGCGCACAAAAGCCCCCTCGTCCGCGAGAGAAAAGTCGGGCGTCGCTCGGCAGGTTTGGCTTCGGTCGCCGTTTACCGGCCATTAAAACGCCCGAGAGTGGCCGAGCGCAAGGGTCGCCAGCAGCGACGGTGTCGGCACTCGCCTAAACAAATCAGCCGACCTGCGCGTTTCTCAGCGACGAGAGCAACTTTCGCATATCGCGCGCGCGGCTCCAAGTTAACGAGAGCGCGGGAGACTTAACCAAATCGAAACTCTCTCGCTCTCTTCGTGGCAGCTTCCCCGTGGAGGGTCCACTTCCTCTCGCTGAAAAACCAGCTGCGGACACTTAGCCCCGCGGGCGCTCTCTCTCTCTCTCTCGCGCGCAGAGCGCAGTCGAGTGTGGACGAAGAGAGCGATCCCTCTCATCCCAGAGCGCGAGCAAATATTGATCTCCAGGACCCCTTTGGGCCGCGCGCGCGAGCGTATTTCCGAGAGCGAGAGAGCTTCCGCGCGCGATGGGACGATTGAGCTTCTCGTCGCCCAGCGTAGCACGCGGTGAGAGAGAAGCCATCGTCTCTCGTATTCTCATCTTAAAGTCTAATTTCTTTTTTCTTCTCCTCCTCTCCGCTTGTCTGTTCCGTCTTTTTTTTCTTTCGGGCGTAATATTCGATAGTCTCTCCGAGCCGATAATTCGCAGCTTTTATCGTCGGCGCGGAGGACACGGGAGATTCGATAGCGCTCGCGTGGCCTCGAGCGCGCGTTGACAACGCCCTATCTCTGCGAGCGTGGATTCACACGATGGACTCGGACCGTCGCTCGCAGCCCGTAAAACCATTCTGCAAATAAGCGCGCTAGCCCGCCGTCGATCCTGCTGATCGGAAAGTTGGCCAGTATCCTTATTCACAACCGAAAAGGCGTAGACTTTGTGCATTACGTAGTGCCGCCCGAGGCGCTATTTTATTTATACGACGGCGTGCACTTTCTTTCTCTCGCCGGACGGATTCTATTTCTCTCCTGTGCTGTCATTTGCGTGACGTTTCGCCGATCGCGCGCGCGCGTAGACGATGATCCGCATATTTCGGCGTGTAATATTTATGAAGCGACGCTCGTTGTAACGAAGAGAGAGGCAGAGAGAAAAAGAGCGATGGTCATCCGATGCTGCTTTGTCGATGGTAACGAACGCTTACGTAAGAGCTGCCGCCGCTCGAGAGCAGCGCGAATGGTGCTGCTGCGGCACAGATTCGCGGCAGAACAACGGTGCGACTTGCAGCCCGTCTTCATTGGAGTTTGATTTATTTTCGCGAGTAAATCACGAGCGAATCTCACTCTGATTCCGTTACATAGTCGGTCCTCCCGTTCCAAGCTTACGAAATTGGAACAATTACGCGAGGTCGCTTTCGAGCGTCGACGTTGATCGAACGGATCACCATCTCGCTCCACGAGGAAAGAGCGAGGAGGAAATCGCGGTGGTCGTTGTCGCTCTCGCGGATTGCCAAGTCCGACGCGCGCACGGCCAATAATAGCGGCACCCGGCGAGAGACGCGTGGAGTCGACTGTATTAAATAAACAAGCCCTTCTCCGCCGACCCCCCCTGGCTCTCTGTCTCGCGGGCGCAGGTGCCGCAGTGTCGTCAAAGCGTCTGTGTGTGTGTGTGCGCGCGTCGCGCTCTCATCAAATTAGGCAAGTTTGTAAATTAGCGCGTCGAGCGACGAGCAGCAATGTCATGCAAATGATATCATTCCGATATACAAAGCCATCGCGCAGCGTCGACGCCGCCACCGAAAACCCGATTCTCCGCGGTATAAATTAATTAGCCGCTCGCGCGCGAGAAAGAGAGACGCGCGCCCGACGCTTGCCGAATTGCAAGCTCAAAGGCTCGCCCGTGCGCGCCATCCCTCTCCCGGGGCGAAGATCGCGCCCGTGCTCCCGAGCCGCCAGCCGCCGCGGTCCTTTGATCTCGGCCGCGAAGGATATCCCCGGCGCTGTCGTGGCGTGTCTACGCGTGTACAGCTCTCGTGATTCATGCACACGTGCGCGCGCAGAGGTGCGAACGGATTACTCACGACGGCCGGCGGCCGTGCACTCTGGTAATTGGCGAATCGATCGGAGCGGGGGAATTCCGGAGACGAGCGTGCGAGCCGCTCGGGAAAAACTGCTCGAGGCGATCGAGGACTTTCGTTGGGGATTCGCGTCCGAGACGGGACGTGTCGGCGCCAAGCTCTGCCGGGGCAATTAGCACGCGCCGAATAAGCGTCGCGCGCGCGGAACGGACACGCGAAAGCAATTAGAGGACGCGCACAATCCATCCGTCTGTTCCGCCTCGCGCGACGCGGAATTCACGAACAGCCGTGCCTGTTGTGTTTCAACGAACGATGAAACAATAAAGAGGGGACGCGGAAGTCGATCTCGGGAGAAACCCCGCGAGCTTGTACGGGTGGCCGAACGCCGGTCCTTCCGAGAAAACGTTACGAAACGCCGGGACTCGCCGACGAAACTTCGCGGAATAACGTCGAGTGCGCGCTGTCGTGTGTCAGACCCGAAGATAAGAAAACTGGGCCGAACGCGGCTCGAGCCTCTTGGAACTGTGTACGAGGATGAGATCGACCGGCCGATACGCGCGAATTGCCCAAGTTTATTTGCCTTTTAACAAGCGCGAGTCTCTCGATGCGCAGACCGCGGCTCCAGTCAGGGGCTTTTCGGCGCTTGCCCGCGGCGAGTCTTTGCGCTTGCCGATCGCGGAGACGGGGGGGCGAGGAGGCGGAAAGCCGGCCGGACGACGCGGAACGCGCGCGCACTTGGTAGCGCGGCCTTTGGCCGCGGGCGAGCTTAGCGCAGCGAGCGCACGTCGGACGCCCCGCGCGCGCGAAGGTGGTGGGGCGCGCGGTAAATACGAGTGCAAGCGGCTCGCCTCGAGCCAGTCACGCTCGCGGCGCCGCTTCGACGCTTCTTTTCATTTGTCTCTCCTCGAGTTGCGTGGATTCGCTGCCGAGCATGCAGATCAGCGAGGACTGAACGTGTCACGCCGCAGACGCATATATATATATATATACATTTTTCGTTGTCTCGTCCCGTCGAGCGTGAGTATCGCCGATTTCGCAAAGTGCGCTATACTGTCCGTCGCCGATGCCTTGTACGGACAACAGTATAAACAGAGAGCTGAATCAGTGACCTTGAACGACGAACCGATTGTGTCTACGTATGTCGCAAGAGAGAGAGAGAGAGAGAGAGAGAGAAATGACCGCACTGCAGGCATCTCGGAACTTTGGATTTTCCGAGAGGAAACACCATTCTCTCTCTCTCTCTCTCTCTCTCTCTCTCTCTCTCTCTCTCTCTCTCTCTCTCTCTCTCTCTCTCTCTTATTCACGTTCTTTCGGCTTTTATCGCGTTGGAGAAGCCAAAGAGAGAACAATAAAAACACTGCTCGCTTTTGGCTTAGCAGCGTAGAAATTTCAATTGAAAAGTCCGCTTCGTCATTGATTCACCTATTATCGTTGACCTTTATCAATTCACTTCCAACATTAAAAAGGCAAAAACATTCATTCTCGCTGAGAGATAATAACGCGCAAGAAGCTTTCCGCTGATCCCGCGGACGGACAATTGTTGTCAATTAAAAGCAAATGTTCCAGCGCGAATGAAAGAAAACAAAACAAAACAAAATAGATAAAATAAATAAAAAGAAGAAAAAAGAATGGCCGTAGCGGCGCTCGAGCGAATGCCTGCATACCCGCACAGAAGCGCGCGCAGCGGCGTGAGGACGATTATTTAGTCACAAAGCAGAAAAAGAAATCCTTCGCTCGCTCGATTCACTCGCGGCTAATTTCTATCTTGTTCCTTTTTGTCCGTTTCGGCGAGCGAGCTTCGCTCCGGGTTGCGCTGCCAATCCGTTTTCTCCTTTTATTACCCCCGCCCCCTCTCTCAAGCTGTCACGAGGCGTGAGCATTGCGTTTGGCTGTCCGCAGGTGAAAAAAAAAAACAGCGCCCGCCGAAAGGATGAGACTGCTCGTGTCGCTGACACTGCTCGCGGTGGCGAGTAGCACGTGTCGCGGTCAATGGATCGATCCCGAGCAGTACGATCTTTTGATACAGCAAGCGGAGGATCGCCGGAAAGCTGCCTCGAAATTGCACATCCCGACGTTCGAGCCGGTGGCGCAGAGCTCCAACGATATAGACAACGGCTGCCAAGATTATCTCGGCAGTCAGCAGCGACAAGCCGAGGCCAGTGCTGCTCTCAAGGCCCCGACCCAAAGGATCACAACGACACCCTCGCTCAATCCCTTCGACACTTTCTTGCCGCCGAGGTGGCGCGACCACGTACGTATGCTCATCATCGGGCTTTACGTAAGACAAGCGTTGCATCACGATCGACTGCCTACTTTTTAATTGCTCGCTGAAAGCGACGCGGCTTCGGGTCTCAATAGTCTCCGCGCGCTCGACGCGTATGCGAGCGCAGTCGACTGCTCTGCGAGCTCGCACAGACGGCAAATCGAGCGAAAACGCGGCGCTCACCACGAACAATAAGGAGCTTAATTTACACGGAGCTCCGCTCGAGAGCGCGCGTCTGCCGTCAGCTAGGAACGGCGCGCGGGTCGGCGATTCGCGATTCGGAACTTTGCGCGTTCCGCTGAGCAAACCTCGAGATGACTGCGCGAAAGTGCACCTTGAGCCATACGCTTGGCGGAATAATTGCTCGCGAGCGCGCGCGAAGGATAATTTTGAGCAAGAAAAATAAGTCCCGTGGCATTGATCAAACGCACCTCGTTTACGTAGAATTCCGCTCTGATAACAAAGTTTCCTCGTGACAAGAAAACGATCGGAGCCAAAGCGAAGATCGATGACTCTGTTAGCGTTGCAAAATTGCTTTTTCCTTCACCAGATTAAAGGATGGTTCTGCGAACTCACTCCAAGTGAAATATCACAAAATACCTAATTTCCGTGTTTTCTTTTTTCTTTTATTGAAATACAAACATTTCTTTCGTAGGTGATCAAAATTCTATCCACCGGCGTGACCAAGTTTACTCTGGATATGGATCGTGCAATCGAAAAGTCTCAAGTCTCGATTCCAGACTCGACGCTTTTCTCACCGGTCAGTTTGACGACGACGCTTGCAATGGTGATGCTTGCTTCGAGCGGCAAAACTTTCGAGGAAGTCGCCAGGATTCTCGGCCTCGAGTCTGGAATCGACGTATCCCATCATTCCGAGGTGGTCCACCGAATCTTTGGCTTACTCCTGAACCAAGCTAACGAGATGAGCAGGCTTCATCCGGAGCTACCGCAGTCCAAATTCGCCTTTGGTATCTTTGTCGAGGTAATACGAAGCGATGGAAGGCTATTCGCCGACGCGAACGGTGGCAATGTTAGCTTCGGGAAATCATCAGCCGAGCCGTCTCACGCGGCGCAACGTTTTAGGACCAGTTCCCCGTGCGCAACGAATTCCGCGACGTGAGCGAGAAAGTGTACAACAGCGAAGTGATCAGCGTGGACTTCTCTCACCGCAGCGACGAGGCGCAGAGGATCATCAACGATTGGGTGAGCAATCGCACCGAGGGTAAAATCGAGAATATGCTTCAAGAAACACCGAGTCCAGCGACCGATGTGATCATCACTTCGGCACTTTACTTTAACGGCGAATGGGATCAGCATTTCTTTGACGGTGGCACCAAGAAGAAGCCGTTCATCGTCAATAAAAACGAGACTATTTACGTTGACATGATGGTCAACGGCGGCGAATTCCCCTTCTACGAGGACAAAAAACTCGGCGCGAAGATCATTGCATTCCCTTACAAGGGCCGTGGTGTAAGAAGAATTCGTACGATTATTTTTCTCTTATTCGGATGATTGCTGGAATGACGTTGTTGCAGGTGTCTATGTATGCCTTGCTGCCGACGGAGGAGGGTACGCAAGGGGTCAAGAATCTGAAGAGCAAGCTCAGTCCCGAGGCGATACAGGACCTCATTGGTAACATGAAGAACACCTCGTGCATCGTTACCTATCCGAAAATGAAGCTGTCGAGCACCCTGAAGCTGCAGCGCGCGCTCGAGATATTGGGGTTGAAGTCGCTATTCGACCCGCGAACGGCCGATCTCAGCGTGCTCTCGCCAGGTCGCGGCGGCGAAAGCACCCCAAGCAAACTCACCACCACGCCACCGACGAACGCGGCCGATCCTTCGCCGAGATCCAGATTCCAGGGCGGCTTCAAGCAGCCCGTGCAGAATCTTTACGGGGACAGCTTTTACTTCCCGTCGCGCATCGACGCCAGGAACTTGTACAGATACGAGGACCGAGTCGGTGGCTACAAGGTCGAGCAGTGGAGCAACGGCTATCGCTTCGAGAAGTCCAGGGGCAAGCGACAAACGCGACCGATCGATCGGCAATTCATCGACTTTCTCGATCATCAGAATCTGCCGACTTTCGGCGTCGACGAGCTGCGCAACACGGCCGGCATCAGCAATCCAGGACTCTACGCCGACGATGTCATCCACAAAGTCGAGATGACGGTGAACGAGAAAGGCACCGAAGCCGCCGCGGCGACTTCGGTGGTGCTCGACAGGAGCGGCGACTACCAACGATTCATCGCCAACAGGCCGTTCTTGTTCTTCATCAGGCACGACGTCGCCAAGTCTATCTGGTTCTGGGGCACGATCAATCGACCCGCGCCCCATTACAACAGCCTGTAGTGATAGTACAGCGATGCAATGCTATCGACTTGTTGTGATGTTGTATTTTTTTTCTCTTTCACTCTCTCTCTCTCTCTCTCTCTCGCTCTGGTGTGCTTCGTCGATAGTGCATTACCTTCCCTTCTTTTTGATATTCTACCGTAATTATATGTTAGTCGTAACTATCGTTTTACACTCGAAATAGGCTTGAAGAGTCCATAGATTGCGATAATCAAACAAGTATTACATCTCCCCCTCCCCTCCCTCTCAGCCGTTTCTCTCTTATTTACATTGAGTCACGCGTCGCTGCATTTGTAGCGACGGCATTTAATCATAACACGCAAACACGCTTCGGTCAGTGAATCATAGGCAACACGTGTGCGTATGAATAAAGTTTAATACTCAACAGATGTACCACGCAAAACCTGTTTACACATTGATTTGATAACCAATCTCCGCGCAGTTTTCATTTTCGATGTCATCAGTCGTCGGCTGGCCTCGCCAAATTAAAATCGAGCTGCTCGTCCGAAGTGAGATAGCGCACGTCGCTATCCTCGGCGAAGGCCGAACTGCTGCATGGACGTCGGTATCGCTGCAACCGTAGAACGAGCAGTGCCAAGGCGACCGCCACTGCGACCGCCGTTAGTGCGCTGATCATTGCGCCTACGATGCCTGTCAGACGGAACCTCGACTCGGGCTCCAATTGTCGAGCGTTCTGAATTATCGCGTGCGGCCCTGTAACTACGGCAAGCGCGTCCTCTCCATTATTTATTGAACGCTCCGTGACCGATAATTAGCCCTTCGAGCGATTCGCTTTTATGCACATTTATCCAATTCGATCTTCATCGCCACGCAAACTGCCGGCAGTCGCCTTGCAATTATCATCCCAAGTGCTTTTAATATTTATTCAACGTCATTGTCTGTACTACCAAACAATGCAATACAAACGTTACATTTGATTCCGAATTCATGAATAACGAAAAATTTATGGCAATCTCGCACAAACGGCATTTTAATGCTCCTCACGGCCTACTTCGATCAAAAATGAAATAGAAATGCACCGAATACCGAATCATTAATTGACCATCGATGAAAGAAATCGATTTGAAAGTGTGCTCGAAAAATTGGAAACGAGTGAAAGAAAACGCTTGTATTTACCCGTACTAGTGCTCGGCAAATCTTTCCTCCTAGTAACACTGGGATTAAAGAAAGTCGTCCGCTTCGAGCTCGCAGTCGACGGCGGCGCAGTTGGCTTAGTTTCGACGCTCGTGACTCGCGCCTTACTCGTAGGAATTGTAAATTTGGCGGTTGGCGTCGTCGTCGGTGGAGTGGCGGTGGCGGCGGTGATAGTGGTAATCGCCGTCGACGTAGTACTCGGAGTTGTTGTTGTTTGGCTTATCCTATCAGGCGTTTGTTGAAATGCCGGTGTCGAGGTTGGCAACGAGGGCTGCTCCGACGTTGCCTCCTCGGTTCTATTTGACGCTTGTCGAGCTATTGATTCCGTGGCCGATGACGTTCCCAGCGACCAAGGCATTGTCGTTTCCATCGCTTCGGTAAACTCTGAAACGATGGTCAAAGATACGGGATTCGAATGAGAACAGTTGCGCTTGGAGGAGCAAAGATTCGTGATTCGTCAATTTGGCTAGGCAAGACGAGATTTACCGTATACGCAGTACTCGGCGTAATCTGGACAACAGCTGGAACTTTCGGCGCAGTCCATTGTACACTGACAGACATCTGGATTGGAGTAAAGCTCGGGGCTCGGAGTAGTTTCTATAAGGCTGCAGCGACCCTTGCAACTTTGAATCGCATTGAAAATTTCAACCTCGTCTGCAGCAGCGAACGAAAAAAGTTTCCAATTAAAAAACACAAAAACACGAGGTAGCCAGGGAAGCACAGGCGCGGAGAACTTTGTCTACCCACCACCATCGGCCACCGGAACTGCGGGAGTCGTATCGTCTTTCAAAATGCACTCGTCGCCCTGAAGAATCGCCAAATCGTCGATCGCAATGTCGCTTACGTAGCTTGTGCCTCGGACCCCCTCGATTATCACCTGCGAAGCGGACGCACCAATTAGAATACACTCCGTCCCGACTCCGTTGACAATTAATTGAAGCGCACCTGAAAACTAGTATTTACAGCGGGCAAAGCGAATAAGCCACGTAACCACTGGTTACCCTGATTGCCCTGTTTTGTCCACATGAGCTTGGGCGGCTGCTCGTTCTCGAGTTTGAAGTACACGTTCAGGCTGCCAATTGTCGAGCCGTACATGTGGTACCTAATTTGCACACATGCCATTTCAGCTTCAGCGCCGTGCCCGCGAGCGCGAAAAGTCGCTTTATCGACGTTGTAGCGCGGAGATAACTCACCAGAAAGAAAAACATCCGGATTCGGTGAGATTGCTAGGGTACAGAGGAGATATTATCCTGGCCGCGTCGTTGACTAATCTTCCGGACGCCTCGATGTACAAGTAATACCCTAAACCGTGTTTCTCTTTATTATGTACCGCGCCTCCACGAATACGCCAGCATATCGCTATTTCAACGGCATTGCCAGTTATCAATTTTCTCGCCTATTTTTTTTTCATTCCTACTCTCGCTTCGGATTTTTTTTCTCTCCGCGGCAGATAATTGCTAAATGACTTACATTCACTTATCGGCGCAGAATGCTCGGCATTTTAATTATCGTTTAATTTAACTGAATTGCAATATGAGTTCTGTAGGGAATATTAAAAAAGAAACCGCCGATGCACGCTAACTGAATAATTCTGGTGAAGTCGTGCAGGCGCTTGAATAAACGATGCAAAATATTGATTTTAAAAGGATATAAGAGGACTGAAGAATTGAAAATCGATTTCGTTGATTCTCTTTTTGTTCGCAAGCAATTCAGCTGCGAAATTTTTTTTACTCAGCCACTTATAAAAAGAGAGAGAGAGAGAGAGAGAGAGATTGCACTTACATCGCGAGAACACGATCAATAAATTCCAAACGTGTTGGAAGTATCGTTACGCACGAAGCTAATTTGCATGCATCAATTTGGCGTTGTACCATCATAATTAGCACCAAGAGTATGATCGTGAGTGGGTCCAGTGCCGATGTGCGAGCTCGGCGTGTCGAACTTATGCCTGACCCAGTCGAAGTCGTGTTTGGGATCCTGCTCCCACCAGCACAATCCTTTCTCGAAGTCGCAGGACGTCGGCGCGACGGCGTTGGTATCTGGAACGACGACGGCAGCGTCAGAAGATACGGCGCGGCAGGGAGACGCGACGTATGATACTGACCGCGGCAGTAGGGAGTGGTGCCGTTCCACTGGCGTCCGTCGCAGTAAATTTCCGAGTTGCCGACGAGCTGGTAGCCGGGCTCGCAGAAGTACATGAGTATGGCGCCGCGATACTTCTCGCCGACCACGGCGTGCATAGGCGCCGGGATCGTCGGGCACCTCGTGCCTGAAACCACAGGCGTCGAGTTCGCGCGGGTAAGTGTCCTTCGGGGGCAGCTGTTAAAATGCCATTTTCACGGGCCGCCGACCAACAGCGGCTGTTTCAGCCGTTTTATTAAACTGACATCCCCCCTTCTCTCACTCACTCTCTCTCTCTCGCTCTCTCGTTTAATAGCCTCGTTAAAGCCTTTCCTAATTTCGTTTGCCCACGAATTATTCGGAAGCTGAAGCGGCTGCGTTATATCATTCGGCTACAATGAATTTATGTTGCTAATCGAAAATTCCAATGATCACGCACGCACGCGCACACACAGAATTCGATTTCCCTATAATCAATCGCGTACCTATATTTGACGACTAGCAGCTTAACTGTCTGATATTTCAATAGTAAAATTTGACGAGAATATACGTGGCGTGCAAGCTGGGCGTATGGCATTTTGTGACAGACATTATCTATATCCTGCCCAACTAGATTCTTGACCGAGATTAGCCTGCTCTCGTATGAGCAATGCTCGCCACGTGTGTGCACACATGTAGCTAACGGCGCAGCCGATAAGTGCATGGCTAATGCTGCGAGAAATTCGGCGAAACTTCTAATAATGCCGCGCGCGTTAAGTTTTTTCCGCTGCACGTCGCATTCGAAACAACGGCTAATCGAATTTAAAGTAAACATTAAAATTAAAACCAGCCACGCCAGAGCGAGAGAGAGAGAGAAAAAGAGAGGGCTAAAAAAGACAATCCTCGGGTAATCTTCTTATGAAATTTTTTTCACCTTTGCTGAAAAACAGTTCGCGGATTAAGGGCGCAGGGCGAGCAAAAAAAAAAGAGAGAAAAAAAAAACAAAGAAAAGGAAAGCGGAGAGGAAAAAGTGATAATCGTGGCTCCGCTGGCTACTTACTGACGCAGATGGGAGTGGGAGTGTCCCAGGAGCCGCGGATGCAGGTGGAATACTTGTTGCCGACGAGCTCGTAGTCGGCGTAACAGCTGTACCTGATGATACGACCGCGGCCGCGGGCTCGTATCCTGCCGTTCTTCAGTCGTGGCGTCGGGCACTGCGGGTCCGCTGCACCCCAGCGCACATGCAACCCAGGCATCGACATTGTTATGGTACGCGTGGGCGCGAGCGCGCGCCGCTCCGCATTGTGCGCCCCGGGGGCTTGCATTTGTATCACAATGACGTTCCCTCGGCCACGCCATTCAGCTCGGACTCGACAATGCGAAGCGCTAAACGCGGCTTACGTGCGGCCGCGCGCACGGCCAGCCTCCGTCGTTCAACTAATTCCTAACTAATTTCGACGCGCTCGATTGACGCGCAACGGCTAGAAAAGTCAGGCTGGTGAACTTTGACGCTCATCGATTATCGAAAATTAACGTATTATTCGATTGACGAGTAATACGCTTCGCCCTCGAAATACCGATCGCGTTGCATATGCCATGGGATGAATTATTTGGCACGACGCTACGGCGACAAATTCGTTCCCCCCTCCACCCACGCAACTTCTTTTTTTTTTTCGACGACCCTATATTAATTTTCAAACAACCGTTATTCACGCGTCGATTAGCGAGTTGCGCCCCGAGCCGAATTCCCTGCGCGTGGAACGAGCATAAGGAAAATATCGCGAGCAAGCGAGCGTCGAGTACGCGAAAAACAACCAGCAAGAGCAAGAAAACATAACGCGGCGGGGAGGTGTTGTAAAATCAGGAGAGAGCGACGCCGCAACGCGTATAACTCATTTACGGCGCGATGAACTGCGGAACGTGGCAAAAACAAAGTTCGCGCGACAATACGCTCTTTGTAAATTACACGGCAATGCCGTCAGGTTGACGAGTGGAATCATTAGCGCTCGGACCGGTAGTTAATTGAAAGCAATATCCTAAAGGAACGCACGAGGAGCAGGCGGTGGAAGAAAAAAAGAGAGAGAAAGAGAGAGAGAGAGAGAGTGCAAACGGCATAAGCAGCGAGACTCACAAAGGGTGCTCCTGGCGCAGGTGCCGGCGACGCACACGAGCAGCGAGGTAAGCAGCAGGATTCTCATCTTGTCGGTATCACTGGAGGCGCATCGTTGGATCTCATTACTGTTCGACACGTGAAGAGCGAATAAGGAACGGACTGTCGGTCGCGAGCGTGCGAGGCTCCTCCCGGGGACGCAACTTCCTGCGAGAGCGATTTTCTCTTATCGTTTCCGTTTTTCCTTATCGCCGACGAGCAACCGAGCGACGAGCCAACGTTGCGCTACTGTCACAGGCCTTGAAAGGGGTTTCCAGCTTTCAAATCTCTCTCTCTCTCTCGCTTTCCTGACTAAGAGAGACTGACTCCTTTGAGATTTTCTCTTATCCTTCTACTCTATCGATGATGATAAGCTGCCAGCGTGCTTTTGCAAGCGAATACTTCATTTACATTAGCCTGATCAGTTTCTTTTTATCGGCATCTTTAAGAATCTCCATCTACTTGGCTTTCAACTTCTCAAGCATTAGGATGATTCATTGCGTTTCACATTTATACTTGTGTATATAAATCGTATTTTTTTCATTCATGACTTATTTTTCACAGTTTCAATTGTAACTGACATTGCTAACGTTTGTTTTACAGGTACAGATCAATGCAAAGTGAATTATAACTTTCATTGTAAAAACAGATACTTGTCTGATCTGGTTCCGTGACACATCGTATTGAGGAAATGAGCTTTGAGAATTAAAATGTCTAATAAGTGAACGGACGTCTCATAACTTACTTTAACATGATGAAATACGCTAATATTAGTCGGGGTAGCGTTAAATACTTTTAATAAACGAGTGAACAAACATGAGTGTTCAGCAGCATGACAGTCACAAATTTATAATGATTTTGCGCAACGCAAATACCCAAAAATAAAATTTTATTTTGTCAAACCGTAATCACCAATTAGTGAAACTCCACCTCCCACGCAGTTTCCTGTACGTACATACACGAGAAACGTTCGACACCGCGCGCACGACATGTTACAAGGCTGGCTCTATAACAGGGCTCGCGCGAGCAACTTTTCGTTTTCTCATCACCCCCCTTTCGCGCGCTCCCTTTCTCTCTTTCTGCATCGTTATTTACGCGCGCGAGAGCTAGTTTTCTCTATGCTCTGATTTAAAAGTGGCTGGGATTGCAGCTGAATCCCTCTCGAAATTATAGCCATGTGTATGTGCGCGCGCGGACGATTGCCAAGTGGTAACTCGCGCTTAACGGCTCTTCGAAACTTCAGATAAAGCTCCGCTAGTTTAAAAAAATAAACAAAGCAAACACGTGCACACGCACTTACACGTACTGCAGCCAAGGAAATATAAAATTGCTTGACTCGGGAAGAAAAATGGGAACACGAGTGCGATTGATAAATGAATAGACGTATGTGGGTTATATGCTGCATAAACTTTTATCAAAAAAAATAGTAACCAGGCTTACTTGTTACAATAGAGATACACTTATAGGTAGCTTTATCCGAAATAATACGAACTGTGCTCAGAGTCTATAACAGAAAATAATTCATCTACTTCTTTTTATACCTCGCATAATATTGCAAACATTACTTCAACTACACAACACACACACATATATATATATATATATATATATATACACACATATATATATATTTATCAGTTCATTTTTCACGCATTATACACGATGATTGCGAAATTCATAAACTACACACGCGTGCGCACTTGCGTTTCATTGCCTCTTGGAGTGCATATGTCGATTCAGTTGATGCAAGTATGCATCGCTCATTTTACAAGCCTGAAAAGCAACATTGTTCGTACATGAGTTACGTGCCCATTCAGTGATGAAAATTCGAAAAATAATGTATTTTATTGCCAGCTTGTTTTGAAATATCACGACTTGCTTTATTTTAAAGTGAACTCAATGACTTTCAGATTAAACGCAGTGGTCCTTGAAATAGTCAGAATAAAAGAGAAAAAAGGAGAGCGCCAGCATTAGCTAATTAAAATACTATTCTCAGTGAACTTTCTTAATGCTTACCTCATTAGCATTGGGATGTTTGTATCTGTAGGCGACCTGCTGGCAAACAGGCGGCGGTGGCGACGGTGGCATCTGCCTCTGAACAATGTATCTCTGGTTGCCATTGAGTGGAGCAAAGCTCTGCGGGCGATCGCCACCACCTCCGTAGTTCATCTTCAGCATATCTAGATACTCGAAATCGGAGCTTTCGTTTGCACGAGAGGTGGGGTAACACGACTGTTTGTGCACAAATGAACAGGATTCATTGGGATTGTAAATCGGTTGACGTCGGTTGCCCTCAGCTGCATGATACTTGATTGGTTGACGTGTTGGTATCATGCAGTTTTTCATCGTCTCTAAGGAGTTTTGCTGATGACAACAGCTGCAAGTGTTTGACTCTTGGAACGAGTACTCGCTGTGAGGTATTATTGGGTACTCGTTTTGTGGAACGTAAACCGGCTGGTGCATACTGCATAAGGAAGTCGAGCAATCACAGATCGGTCTGTCATATGAAGGTTCAATAAAAGCTTTATGGGGCTGGTTCTGGTACAGACTGCAATTGTTTGTTGTCTCGCATGGCTGATAATGATAGTTGGGATGAGAGTGTTGAGAGGCATAAGCATGTTCCGTGTTCTCTTGTGAGCAGGTTTGATTTTGGGAACAAATGGTCAAACGGTTGGTTCTGTCTTGAATATCACCGAAGCTAACCATGTGAGTCATACCATTTCCATTCTCTAAAGCTTTGCTTTCTTGAGACAACTGGCAGAAGCGGAAGTCGTGACTGACATTTTGAGAGTAGCTTTGGTGCTGCTTTATAGGAGATAGATTGTAGGTTTGCGAAAGGATAAAGTTTTTCTGAACACTGTTTGGAGATGCAAATCCTTGAGAACACCTTACAGGTACTGAATTCCTATTATGTCTATTATCTCGTACTATTGGAATATTTATTCTAGAAGGTTGATTATACTTTGCATTCATATGACTGTATTTACTTTTTGGTGCTTCCAATGTTGACTCGTTTATTGTGTTTGGTGTACGTTCACTTTCTATATTGTCTAAGTTCAAATCTAATATTGATGACTTGTTTCTCTGGCTTGGATGCTCTTCAATGCTTAATATGGTGGCTTTCTCTTTTGCAATACAGTCTACCAAGGACCGATTTTTTCTTAAAATTGCAGGAATGTATTTAGTACTTTTGTGTATATAGTGGACACCTTTAGAGCTATTATCAATATATAATTTTTCCTTGCGCACAAGGCGTTCCTGATGTTCCTCACTATATTCAGAAGTAAAACTCTTTTGATCTCCGAGAAAACGAGCGACGAGCTCTTGACGATCTGGGTGAATGTTATTCATAGTTAATTCTGCCCTCACGCTTTTTGGATCTACAATAGCTTGCGTTGAAGAAGCTACATCTGGTTCGCTACCTTTGGATGAAGGTGCATGTTTCCTTTTTGTGACATTATTTTCAATGGTATTTGCCAGTGATCGTGCGTTAACTTTATTTACAAAATTCTTAGTAGAATCTGTGGAGTTAGTAGGAGTCGTCGTTGATTCTTTTTGCTTTAGGAATGCAATGTTTTTCTTCACTCGTCTCGCGATATCCGAATCTGGTTCCAGCAAAATTTCGGAGTTGCTAGACGGAGTACTTTGATTGGCAGATTTTGATTGCTGGCAATACTGACGTTGCAAATAATCCTTTAACACTCTTTTGTAAGTTAATTTTAGAGCTTCTCTTGCACTTTCCTCTGGATCTAAATAACATTATTAAATGAAAATAGTTCAAAAAATAAATAATATCTAAAATTCAATGTCAAAATTTATGTACCTTTGTACTCATTCCTAAACATATTTTTAAGATCATTTGTGCCTATAAATTTACAAATCTGTACATAGGATTCGATTATTTTTGGATCTGAGGGATCTATTATTGGATGTTTCTTAATCTTATTTACAGGCTGTTTTAATATCATTTTAGAATATAATATCACATTTTCTGGTGTAGAATTTCTAAAAAATAAAATTTTCCAATTAATTATTCAGATAATTATGGATCATAATAATAAAAATTTTTAAGACTCATACCTGGATAATTCATTATTACATAACACACTACTGGGGATTTCCTTACATCTATTATTTACACCAGCTACTGTCTCATCGAATAAACGTCTCCTATATCTCTCTCCTTTGTTAATATTATTTACAAGCGAAATATCATTCTCTTGAGAATGCACATTTTGATGTACCTCATTAACAGATACTTTTACTTGATTATTTCTTTTTTTAGCACTGTAAATGATTGAAAATAATTTTTAAAATATCAAATCAATATTTTGAAGATTATAATTCAAAACAATATTTACCCTTTACGTCTTCCTATCACAGGACTAGATGGAAATTCAATTACTCCAGGATTGTCCAAATCAAAACTGCTACTCTCCGAAGAATTGAAATTATTCAAGATTTTTGCTACTTCCATTTTCAAATCTGCATGATCATCTTCTATAGGACTCTTTGTACTTTTATTTGGATGTCTTTTCTCATCAGATCTACAGTAAAAATCATTAATTTAACTACAAGTAAATTATATTTCTTCAAGTATACTACATTGTGCTCAGAGCAAACCTGTGGCAAGGATGACCACTTTGAAGTATCTGTAAAACATCACTCTGTAAGACTCCATTTCTGAATTTTTCAAACTCTGGATCAGCTACAAAATAACCATTGACACTGTTATTTTAAAAAATTAATGATCAATTGTGCAACCAAATAATCTGTATACAATTTAAAAAACTCACAACGATGCACTTCTCTTCCCTTAACTCCTGCTCTGAAGAATCCTTTTATATCTTTCTGTAAAATAATTTAATTTTTACTTGTTGAAATTTGCGTTAATTATCAAATGCAAATTATGAAAAATTGAGTTAAAAAAATACAGACTGGCTGAATTACTTCCTGTTTAATAATTCTAGGTTTGTTATTGTTGCTTATTAAGTTAGAAGTAATTTGTGTGGCTTCTTCCTGTAATTTATAACTTGAATAAATACGTTATTAATTCAATGAAAGAAAGATAATTTATCACAAGACCTACAATTTTTCTCCTCTGAGAAGCAAATTGATTCAGAGTTTTAATGAAGCCTGACTTTGGTTTACAAATGATAGAATCCTTGCATCGCTGTGTTAATAGAAAATGCAAAATAAAATATTAAATGTCACCATGATAATCACAGTCAAATGATAACAGACTAAAACTGGACTTAAGCACAATGAAAGCTTTTTGCACAATTTCATAGCCTACAATTTCGATCGAGACAAGTAATGTTGATGACATTTGAATTTGGTAGTTAACCTAACACTTCATCAGCGGTTTGAACTAACGATCGTCTTTGTCACAAGAGACACTGAAAAATCACCGCCGACCAGATGTAATCGCCTCGCAGTACAATCAAACTCGCTCACCAAATCGCGCTTGCGTCCAAGGGCATTTCTTCGTATTTGATCGAGGTCCTTGATCCTCAACTTCCTTTTTATCTCCTCCGGATCTTCATCTTTGCCACCGAGCCATCCGGAGCTGAACTTGCCCATCACACACGCACCAGGTTAATGACACTTCTCTCTTGACGAGCGATTATTCGCGCACCACATGCTCGCGGCGATGAGTCGGGCACACTGCTTTGTTTTGGCTTTTTCGTCGTTCACAACAGCGTCCGTGAGTGTAAACATCAACCTTGCGCGTGTCAGATCAAACGTATAAGCGTGAGATAGCCCAGAGAATTGTGGTATGCTGCTTTTTTTTAGGTAATGGTTGGTAAACAACTTTGCTCAGTGTGGAATGCATAAGACGTCAGTATAATTTGTTATACTGTTCATGCGGTGCTACATTATTGAGTATTTTAACCTTAATTATTGCATCAATTTTGCACAATTCAACAGATTACAATATAATAAAAATTAGAAGAAAATATTTTTTAGGATGCGTAATTGTCAAAGTTATTTTGAGCGAAAGATGTACGTATCCTTTTATTTTCACGAGTCAACATCAACTTCGTAATTATGAAAAAGCTCACTCACTCGCATCAAATTTACTATTTACTATTAGTGCACAACAATTCTTTCTCTCTCTCTCTCTCTGCATTATGAAGTCACTGCGTTAAATCAAGCCATTGCATATGAAACACGGACATTTCGAGTGTCACGTAAAAACATAATTCACGCAGCGAGAAAACGTTAATTTATTGAGTGGAACCCGGATGCACGCTCATAAATTTATTATTGAGTTATTACGATGCAGACTCATAATTATCTTTAGAATTTCGGCATATTTCGGGGTTCATCGATGCCGAAACATAACGACAGCGGCACGCACGTGACGCTGTATAAATAACAGCGCGCGCATCGCAGCGAAAATGCCAGCGGTGACAATGGAATTTCATTACAAACAAAGTCAAGTCTTATCCTATCGATTATATTTCCATTCCATCGATTTCAATTCGATATTCAGAGCTTGATTTTTTTCTCGCGCGCGCGAATCAAATTTAATGTTCCGCGGCCAATGCAAAGAAGCTTTACGGTGAAACTTGGCAGATCGAAAGGCGGCCCGAAAGTTGGAAAAACGAAACGCGCTTCGCGGAAATATCTGTGAGTAGAGCCGCGATGGAGGTTCGTTTTTTTTGTCGTCGACTTGCGCTCGAAGCGAAAGGAGAAGTTACTCTGAATCGAAGGTGCTTCATCAGAATGCCCTCGCGTTTGCGAATTTATGAATCCCCCAAAAATTTTTCTTCTCGGTTCTCCCTCGGGATCGAACTTCTCAGTCTGCGCTATAATCCTCGCGGGAGCTTTCGACGCTTTACAGATTGCGACTTGTCAAACTTGAGAAATCATTGGTAGTAGATTCAGGGTTATTTCAGCTGCGCGGTTTTGAGGCGAGAGTGGATTGAGACTATCTTCGCTTTCAAAAAACTTCTCGTTATCGATTATTATATACTACATCAATTTAGCGCATTTTTAATGATAAAAGAAGACTTATGGTAATTAACATAATTGAAGTGGCTTCATCGGTATTCCACGCGTTTCAAAATTAATTAATCAAGCTGTATGAAATAATCTATCCAACAATTGCATGTGAAAATCAACGATAAATGGCAAATTAAATATTTAAGCAAATATAGAGAATCGTGCCTCGATAATATGTCTGTATATATACTAATAAATCAAACGAATAAAACAAACAAATTATTTAATAATGTAAATTTGTTGAAGTTAGTTGCTGCAAATGCAAGGGGATTAGTTCGTGCTGGTAGTTGTTATTATGAAAATAAAATGCCGATTTGGCCGTCATAACGGTTTCGTGAAGGATCATCTCGAAATTTACGAATTCATTGGCAAGCCGAGCGGCGCGGTAAAATCTGGCGCGGTTCGAAACTTTTCCGTCGCTCGAAGCCCCGTGGAAAGTCGCACGCGGTGTGCGATCCGCCCCCCCCCCCCTCTTGATCCCTCCAGATGCCGGTCACTTTGGAACCCGCTTTCAGCGAGTGTTCGCGCGGTCCCGCGGTATTTCTTCTCTCTTCTGTTATTTTTGCGTTCTCGCACGTTTGCTCTTCAGCGGACGTCCGTACAACGCTCAGACAATGAACCTCAGAGTGTTTCCTCTGAAAGCTCATTCTTTCCAAGGATCTGCCTCTGCGTTGGCTCGCGAGGCGCAGCGGAGAATTGAATCTCACGATTGTTTGCTCGCAATCGCAACGGAAATCCAAATGAATCAATCACGGCCCCTCGTCGACAGATAGAGAACAATATGTTTAGCGAGAACTCGCTTTTTTGTTTCTCGTTCGGTCAATGCTTAAATGTATAGCGCGAGTTTACAAATTTCTGCAAAACGTTTCGCGCGCATGTAAAAGTCCTCCCGCGGGGTGTCGGTTCGAATATTTGTTTTCTCACATCTTTCTTAAAAAAAAATAAAAAATAAAAAATAAATAAATAACAAAATAAAAACGCCGCTATACCGACTTATTGCGGTCAATACGAGCCGTTTTTCCGTTCGAAAAGCGCTTCAGACGAGTTCGACCCGTCGCCGAGAAAGCAAATCCAACCTGCTCGTCCGTAAAACGTCACTCGCGCGTGCGTCCGACGAGCTGCGGGCGCGCGTAGACGTATAGCCGCCTGCCGAAACTTATCGAGCGCTCGTCAGCTTGGTGGTCCACGTAACGGCCACGGGAAAAGAAAAGGACAAAAAGAAGAGCGAGAAGCACGGCAGAGCCATTAGCATGATAAGCTCGGGGTCTCGGGAAGCAGGCGCGGGTCATTGATCACGCCGGTTAGCCGACGCCCGGAGCTTTTTCGCGCGGCGTGAATAGTTGAAAGGAGGCGGCAGGCGCGCGGCAGTGACGCGCGTGGAATTAGGCGAGGCTCATCTGCATGCGATTAACCGCGATTGTCTGGGTTAAGCATCCTGCGCGAGTCACTTGCTCGCCTCTCCCCCTTCCCGCCCCGCCGTGTGCGTTTGCATCTTCCATTCGACCCGCGGTCGCCGAGCTTTCACGGATCACGCGAATCAATGCCTTACGTGCGAATGGGATTTTGTGCCGCGCGCGCGCGCGCGTGTTTTTGTTTATGTGCGCGCGAGCAGCGGTGCACTGTAAACTTTCACTTTGGCAGCGAATTTCCGCGAGCCCAATCTGTTCTTTTTTTCCTTCCTTCGTGGCGCGTTACACGGTTCCCGTTGCAGCCGTCCGAGCCTACTCCCCCGCCGCGAGTTCGCGGTTTAATAATCACTAAGGCCAAACTACGCCGCGGACGAATGATTAAAATTCGTCGAGCTAAATTTCGCGCAAAATTCAGGAAGCGTGCCGCGGGCGCTGTCGCCACTGCTTGCCGTCGTCCATGCTTCCTCGGCGAAACATGCAAATTACGACTGAGATTACGTTGGGCTGCGCTTGCATATTCTCGAAAAAGGAAAAGAAGGCGCGCGCGGAGTTAGTACCGTAAATAAACAACCGTATTAAGATTCCGCGATCGTCCGTTAAAGGAGGAGTGTGCCTAACGGAAGAAAAAGAGAGGGAGAGAGAGAGAGAGAGAGAGAGAGGCGGTGGCGACGGCGCTTATTTTGCCCGAGTTAAATCGTACATAATGCGGCACGTCGTAAAGAAGCCGGGGAGAGTCGGTGGGTTAGGCGAGCGTGACGCAAGTTTCTCAATTCGCCGTAAAAGTTAGCTCGCGCTCGCCTCGGAATATCATTATGTAGATGCATTGTTTGATGCATCTCGAGGACGCGCGTCGCTCCGTAACGCTTAATATTCATCGTTCTGTGCGTGCACCGCCGCCGTCACCTCGAATCGACGCCTTCAGGTAGCTCTCGCGCGTCTCTTCTTCCGGGGTTCCGAGTCCCCCGCCCCCCGTCCGCACGATGTATTCATGAGAGCCCAGGTGTAAAAGGTCTATTATTGATTTTTCGCGGTAGTCGCGCGGGAGCTGACGGCCGGTGAGTCGATTGCATAGTTAAAAAGTCGTCAATTTGCGCGAGCGCACACTTCTGGAATGTTCGCTGGGAGTGCGAGCTCCGAGGGAATGTGTGCTTACTGTTTCTATAGAGGCCAAGAAAAAAAAAAGAGGTGCGAATGCCAAAGGTACCCCGATAAAAACGAAACTCCCCCTTTTTTCCCAATTCGATGTACGATTTTCGCGCTATCGTCGCTGTCTATTTGCAGAGGAAAAAAGTCGCAGACTATCGTTCGTTGTATCACCGCGTTACGCTCGCGGGTGTGCAGGAGGAAAGGGGATTTTTTTCAGTAAGTTATGCACGAGTTTTATGACTCGACTGTAATTGTTTCCTTGACATGGTTCGCTTGAATTAGAGTATTCCGACTATTTACAGTGCATTTAGATCGCGACGATAGCGTTCGAGTCTGAAAAGAGTTTAATTCTTTTTTTTCCGCAAGCAGTCAGTAATTTCAAATAAAACCCTTGTCAATCGGGCATTTTTGAGCATCGATGAGCGGTCATTGAGTAGTTTTGGCCCGGTGCCCATTTGTAGCTTTCGGGCGTACGTGCAGCGTGCAATAAAATAAAGAAAGAGCGCGAGTTAATTTGCGGGACTCGCGAGTCTATTAGCACGAGAAACTGTGACATTATCATGGAAATTACGAATGTGCGAAAGTTTCTAAACTGCTAAAATTATCACAGGGCGACGCGGCGACGGCTCACGCAACTCGAGGCATTGTTTGATAGTATAAACGGAAAAGTTTCACCTGTACTCTTGCACCATTACAATTGCAGGGCCTTTCTAGTCTTACTTGGCCACAGCGAGATCGCTATGAAAAAAAATGATAGCAATGGAAACGCTGAAATATGCCTCGAGGTATATATATTCGGGGGCACTTTAGAAAATCGATTAACCTCGTTAGTCAAGTCAGGTGGGATTTCGGATGTATCGCGTGACGGCCGCAAATCGAATTACCATTTGTAGATGGCGAATGTGTATCCGCGCGATTGCCTTGCACGCGAAAAACATTATTCCTCGCGTCGCGTCGGCTTCGTCGTCGAGAGGCCCGAGAATTTCGCACGAGTGCCGACTGCACGCTTCCGGAGGCTCGCCGCCTACGGTCGCGAGTGTCATTTTCCGTTTAATCGTCTTGCCCGCGACGGACGGTGTCGTTAACGAC